AGATGATTAGATCCTATGGACTACATGGGCAGCATAGATCTACAGGATGCCTACCTGCACATCCCCATTCATCCCGATTCCAGGAAATACCTACGATTTACTCTAGAAGGGCTACATTACCAGTGGAAAGTACTCCCATTCGAATATCATCAGCCCCTGGCTATTCCGCGAGGATAACGAAACCGATTATCAAATTTCTACATCGTCAAGGGAAGCTCGCGAGTGCGTTTTACCTCGACGACGGGATACAAGTAGATCAAGATCCACTGCGTCTCAAACTACAGTTAAATTACATCATAAAGCTACTAACACAACTAGGTTGGTTAGTAAACTTACGCCAAGTCGGACCTAGTACCATCGCCAAGACCTGCAGTTCCTAGGTATTCGATTCATCACAAATCGCAACCGTATTATGGTACCAGAAGACCGTTGGCTCAAGATACAGCAGACCATTCCACCAGCTCTACTCTCTCCGTTACCACTGCGACAATGGCAGAGCCTACTAGGTCTTCTCACATCAGCCCAAGACATGACTGTCACAGGCAGATTACAGTTACGTCCCCTACAGGTCCTCATCATCAACGCACATCTCAGCGATGTACAACCATTCAGTCTACGAAACATCTCAGACCTCATCTACTATGGTGGACCAAGAAATCGAATGTCTGCGAAGGGATTTGTTTAGCAGAGCAGGAATACAAAACCCATCTGTATGTAGATCGCCGTCACTCCAAGGTTGGGGAGCTCATCTCACCAACCACCGCGATATCAGGGTTATGGAATCAGCAAGAATGCAAACTCCATATAAACAGTCTAGAAATGAAAGCTGTAATCAACGCCATTCTACATTGGAGCACATTTCTACAAAATCTTGGCTAATGATCCATACAGACAATTAGACAGTGGCGTTCTACATAAACAAGCAAGGCTCAACGAGATCGATGAACCTTTTGAACCTAAGCTTTCAACTGTTGATTTAATACAAGATCTAAATCTACATGTCAGAGCAGTGCACATTCCCCGAGCCAGAAATATACTAGCAGACGGCTCTCTCTCGGCCTCATCTACCATCACCGACAGAGTGGATGATCAACAGGGAAATTTTTGCACAGATAATCAAGCAATTAGGAGCGCCGCTAATAGACCTATTAAGCCACGCCGATTCAACAATCAGCTACCGACATTACGTGTCACCAGTCCCAGACCCCAAAAGCTTGGGCAACGGATTTCTAAGTCTATCATGGAAGGCCTCTCAATGCGTCGCAGCGTTTCCGCGCCAGCAATAATACCTCAAGTATTACAGAAAATCAGACAAACACAGAGCCTACAACTCACTTTGGTCAGCTTCCTACTGGCCGGCCAGAGCGTGGTTTCCCATACTAATTCAAGAAATCGGTCAACCAACACTGGAGCTACCCAAGCGCAAAACCTGTTAATTCATCCTCACACCAAACAAGTGCACGGAAACCCAGCAATGTTCCAACTACACGTATGGACTGTATACAAATGTGTTTAAACAAGAGAGGATATTCTGCCAGGGCGGCAAAAGCAGTCACGCTTGCCTTACGTTACTCAACTCGTGGCAATGTACGGCGACAAGTGGCACAGTTTCGAAAATTATGCAACAAAGAAAGGGTTTACAGCAAGAGAGGCTTCACAACCTCAAGTGGCAGACTATTTGTGTTACCTACGCCAAAACAAACATTTAAAAGGTTCAACGATATCAACATATCTTGCACGCTTAGTTCTGTAATCACCATGAGAACGGGATGTCAAATTGACAAGATCTCCAGAGTTACTGGCCTTACTCACGAGCTTTCCGATTGGAGGACCAAAAGCGGAAGTTCCACTAGCTTGGGATCTGAATGTAGTGTTACAACACCTCACGAAAGTGAGGTCTATGAACCTTTGGAATCGACAAACTTTGAATTTCTCTCACAGAAAACACTGTTTCTGCTATAAGCTAGCCACAGCAGCAAGAATGTCTGAAATTCAGCTCTGGATTACTGAGAGGATACAGTTTGATGACAATCATAACACAGCACCTCGGATTAAGATGGGATTTCATCGCAAAAATCAACTGCCAGGTCAACCAGACAGATTATTCCACATCCCGGCTATCCTCTATTCTCGGATCACAAGATACACAAGACCTATCACTGTGTCCGGTAAGAGCTCAAAGTTTATTTACTGACGATCCAAAACAAGGAGAAGATTTCTCAAACGTTTATTCATCCCCTTATAAGCCTCTGAATCAAACAGAAGTGTCAATGGACCACAATATCTATTTGGATAAGGACTGTCATTCTCCTGTGCCTACAAGGCAGCAGGCTTGGACCCACCAACAGCATCAAATCCACATGAGATCAGGGCACTGGCCTCTACCCTAAGCCTCTACACGGTAACTGTTCCTTGAACCTGCGATTATGGAAGGATGCTATTGGAAATCTAACATGGTATTTGCTAATCACTACCTAAGAGACATCACTACAGAAGATGTCTCTGGCATTCACCATTTCGACCACTGGTCACTCGGCTCAGCAACTGACAGTCCCTCAGAGAGGCGTTAAAATATTATCCTCACAAGATTAATATGTATTTTATACATACTCATCTAGCTTATAACTCTCTGAGTTTTAGGGCTATGTATATATGTTCAGCTTAAGTATTCAACCTTAAGCATATACTTTGGTATAGTCAATTTCAGTGCCTCTATCAGAGTCACCTATATATATATATATAATTTATATGTATTGTTCAATATATTCATAATGTAATTCCCTTTTAATGGCTTTATATAACCTATGGTTTCTTTATACAGGAAACATCCTAAATCTAAGACTTCATGAAGTTCCGTGGGGATATTACAGTATATCTATACAAAATCACTAATTATAAATCCAAAGTATTCTGTTACCCACCTCCGTTCCATTAGGATGCTACAAGCAAAAGCATGAGTCAGGATAAGGAAAATATGTAATTTTAGAGTAAAATTGATATTTTATACTTATCCTGACTCATGAGGTTAGCCCTCCCATCCTCCCCACATAACACTTTGGATTTCCCTGTAAATTCAAGTGTTGGGCTCGCTAAATCAGGAGAGAGGTGGAGCACATGGCCAGAGGGTGGCGACACCTTTCCGCCAGGGGAGACAAAGGGGAGCAACTTCGTGGTGAGTACCAATTAGTGATTTTATTTTGAAGGGAGCTTCAAATAAGGAGATACAAGTGTTCCACTATGTTCGCAAGAAGAAGAAGACAAGCAAAAGAGCATGAGTCAGGATAAGTATAAAATATCAATTTTACTCTAAAAATTACATTCTTCTTTATACCAATGTACTGAAACGTGGCATCAGAATAGAATATAGAAGTTACTCCTTAGATCATCTTGCCCTAATTGTGACTCACCAACTTTTAAAGCACCAAAAAAGTGCGGCATATTGTATCTCAGTGGGCTAGCACTGTAGAACTGGCATTAATGCAGATGAGTAACAGCGCCCATATGCACACACGTTGTAAAAGTGCAGTAATCTTGAACACCACATCCAGCCCCATTGCTCCTCATTTCATCTCATTGTTTGTGATATGTGAGCCTAAATAATCACCATCAGTCACTCAGGAGATTGATTATCTCTGATCTAGATTAAGGACAGATATGTACCCCATGTTTGTTGGCGAAACAAAATTGGGATTTCTAGAAATGCACAAATTATTAACTGTTTTGAATTATTGTTTGTAGAATAAATATCACAATAGTTTGATTTTTGGTAGAATACTCACCAGACATAGATATTCAAGTAGCAGACAAGAGTATAACATATGCTAACGTATCAGAGGTTTTGCCATCACCTAAACCTGATAGCTCCTGTAGGCAGCATGGATTGTGTACTCCCCAGGGAGCTGAAAATAATAAATGGAATGCATCCAGTCCTACGGATTGAGGGGAAAATAAAAACATATCTAAGCAGATATGAGATGGTAACCTGTGAAGATCCAGGTTAGAATTGATCTTCAGTAACCCATGCTTGTCTGCCCGTGAAGATCTGGGTTAGAATTGGTCTTCAGTAACCCATGCTTGTCTGCCCGTGAAGATCTGGGTTAGAATTGGTCTTCAGTAACCCTTGCTTGTCGTAAGAGGCGACTAACGGATTGGGTGGTCAGGCTCACTGACTTGATAAAGTACAGACCACCACCATATAGCTGGAATGTTGCTGACTGTGGCATTAAACACCAACCAACCAACCTCCAATATTTAAGTGACGCAACATGAGATAACTGCTTTACTATGTTAGAATGGTTTTGAACCCAATTCATTTACTTTTTCTCTTGACTCTCTCGTGTAAGTTTTGTCAGAATCCTGTACCTGGTAAGTATTTTATTTCTGGACATATCTGGTATTATTTGGTATGTACCAAGAGATAAACCCTTCCAGTATGTCATCGAGACTATGGTGGTGGCATTTCTACCCTGTTGACATTTTGCGTTACAAGATGTTACACATTATCTCTGGAGTGCGGTACATTAGGGATTTTCATAATTAGTGAGAGGAATCTGTTCACTTCTGTGATGGACATATGAGTAATAAGGTATTCTTTTATGTAAATCTCCATGAGTGGAGACAGGGACTAATGCTTGTAGGGAAGATGGGATCAGCTGTGGATGTTTTTGGTCTGAAACCAAAAAGGAGATGTTTCTCTGGAAAATTTCTCTTGAAACATGGTGTGTTAGTCATTTGTATTTTTGATACAGGCGTACATTTCAAATTGATACTGTGGTCGATGCTTGACAACTGACATATTTTTCTGTGTGCCCACTTTTTGCTGGGTGGGGGGGAAAAGGGGGTCCTTATCTCATTACTTTCTCTTTTACATAAAAATCAAGGTCCTACCACCCTTATTACTTTTGAGAAAATTGTGCTTGAAGAGCAGATTTTCCAGCCACGTAAGTAAATGATGCGGTCATATGGGGTTGATACGTAATAGGAATGTGTAATGCTTTCAGAATGAATCCCAGGCAAGATTGATGGCAGTACAGTATGCCATAGCTGTCTTCCCTCAAGACCACATCCCGTCAAGATACATTCTACTCCTGGCTTCTGGTGACATGTAAGTACTTCTGTCAATTTCAGTACTCTGTTGTGCTATGACCAGTCATTAACTGCAAGCCCTGTGTTGATTCAGGTCGTACGAGTCGACTTGATGTGTTGAGTGGTCAGACTTGGTTGATAGTGTCTTTGTGTGGATTGTTGGCCATGACCTGTTTTTCTAATCCTGACTTGAATATTTTCAGATTGCCATCATTTAGCTGGATTATTGCTGAGTGTGGGATTGAATTAAAAAAACACTCACATGTGTTAATCCCATTTGATTCCTAGAATTCTAGACCGCCTCCGTGGTGTAGTGGTTAGAGCATCCGCCCGACCGCGTCATACCAAAAGACGTAAAAATATGGTACTTGTTGGTCCCTGTCTGGCGCTTGGCATTAATGGGTACAACAAGGACTGGTCGGCTCGGAGTCAGTATTATAGTGTCTGAGTGGGGTATTCATGCTTCACTGCGGCATGGTATCTCAGTGGGCTAGCACTATAAAACCAGCTTAAGTCTGGGTTAGTACAAGCAGCCGCACATACACATACACTCGCATGCACGTCGTCATATGAGCGAAATATTCTCAAGTACGACGTTAAACCCAATTTCACCTCACCTCACCTCACCTAGAATTCTAACTATAGGTCTCTGCGCCATATACACAATTGTGAGTTCACCACTACAAGTTTTGAAATAGAACATACCTGGATAATTGTCATGTATGATGGTAAATGTAAAGTGTTATGTCCACTCAACAGTAAGGAAGATATTCGTGGGGAAGCTGTGAAAGCCTTGCTCGGAGGCAGTGGTCAGAGTGAGCTGGATGCTGAGAAGAGACGTAGCATCACACTGCCAGACTTCACTCAGATGATTCAGTACATCAGATCTCAAGTGAGTCCTTTAGATAGTATATTTATGAAATAACATAAACATTCTGTGCTTTTTTATCCATGTATGAACATACAAATTAGCGGGCACACTGCTAATCTGCCTAATGGATGTAACAAAATAGGTAAAGATTATTAACTTCCCAGACTGCTGATTTAATCATTGTCTCCAAAAGACATGCCCAGCCCAACCTATGATCAGCCAATCAGGAAGCAGTTACCCTCAAATGGGCATGGCCAGATTGTATTTTTGGACTTTTGGTGACATGAATGCAAGAGCAATTGGTTGGTTAGCTGAACAAACGCCATGGAACAGCATGCACATTAGTTATACAGTAAAATACCTTTATAACGAACTCCAAGGGAACACTGAAATTATAGTACTGTCGAAATAGAAAAAAAATGTTTTAGGCTGTTACTCTGTATCCCTAAAATTTACACAATTGCAAATAGCATATGTCAAAATAACACACTTCGGCCTAACTGGCGCTTTCAGTGGATGCGAATACGATATCCAGAAATGCATGTTTACTCATAAAATCGGGCAAAACTTAGAAAAATAACGAAAAGCTGCTCAAAACAATAGATCAGACTATAGATGGCAATTAGGTCGGCTCAGCCAGGTATGACGACGGACCATCGACTCACCTGGCATGAAATGCATGTGCTGCCTACAGGCACAAAGGGGTCATCTCAAAGATAATTTGTGCTTTGTCCATGTGTGTTGACTATGTCTCATCTACTGATTAACATCTTACGTGTATTTCTTTCATAAAGTTTATGTTGAGATATGTAAGAGAGTATGATACCGAAAACCATAGTAACGCGATCAGAGTATATGGGTGGCATGACCAATCTCAAGATCGACAGGACTGGATATTATTTGTAAATTGTTATGACGTGCCGTGTACCTCCCCAGTATAATTGCCCTAAAGGATTATCTTATCTTAGCTGATATCTCTATCCCCAAGCCCGACCCCAGGTTTTGCTTTTGAGGCGACCCCTCCTATCTGTTTCTTTTTATAGTGACAGTGAGACTGCATGGTAGCTACATCCTTAATAGTTTCGCATAAAAGTTATTATTTTTACGTCCAGCTATCGCTTTATAATGAATCTACATCTAATTTCACATTGGGCATTTAAAAGTGTCCTTTGTAATACAATATCGTCAAGCGACACTAATTTGCATAAAGCCATGGTCTGTTCCAAATACGCCTTTCTGGACTTAGAAAAAAAGCATTGCTCATTTCTGCACTAATTTCCCCTCAGTAAAGTCCTTTTCTCCGCTTTCCTATCTCTACCACTGAGACTGTAGTTAGGTCAACTTAGTTTAACAGATATTTCACACTTTCACATATCAACTACATAAATTGTAGAGATAAATGAGAAAATACAGTTTTTTCTATTTCGACAGTACTATAGTTCATTATATCAGTAGTTCGCTATTCACTTTTTTATATGATAATATAAGGTTTATTCGGGACTTTTAAAACAGTTCGCTATAGCCGTCAGTTCGTTATATCCGTGTTCGTTATAGAAGTATTCTACTGTATATCATCAGGTCATATGTTTCGGATGTCACATGTTTTCGGACAGCAGTGTTTAGTCACACTATAATGAGGCGCATTGGGTCACACAGACATTGTAAATAAGGATGGCTATTTGAAAAGTTATTGATACATTTTACAGTTGTTCATGTGATGATTGTGACAACAATGGATGTTCTTAAGCAACTGAAACCCAATAAAAGATGATAGTAGTATAATAGTATTTGCCAGTACTGATGTGTTACAGGGTATAGGTTGAGTTGGAAGGCGTTAGAAAGGAGGATACCATATTACCATATTCTTTGAAAGTGGGCGGTGGGGTAGCCTGATGGTTAAAGCGTGCTTCGTCACCAAAGACCGGGTTCGATTCCCCACATGGATACAATGTGTGAAGCTAATTTCTGGTGTCCCCCGCCATGATATTGCTGGAATATTGCTAAAAGCGGCATAAAACCAAACTCACTCACTCACTCACTTACTTTGAAAGTCTTTTACAGTGACGGTGGGGTAGCCTAGTGGTTAAGGCGTACACTCGTCATGCAAAAGACCTGGGTTCGATTCCCCCACATGGGCACAATGTTTGAAGCTCATTTCTGGTCTCCCCCGCTGTGATATTGCTGGAATGTTGCTAAAAGCGGTGTAAAACTAAACTCACTCACCCCTTGCATTCCAGGGTTTGAATACCTGACTATATTTCTAGGTTTGTCATCACAATACCCTTTTTGGTTTCACCAAAGGGGTAAACGTCTGAGAGCTACATCACTTCAGGCTTTCCTCCCACATTTAGCTGACACAATGTGATATAACTGCGATAAAACTGGCATTAAATCAAACTCGTGCTAGACCTTTATGATATTCGGACTATGATTGAGTCTACAGCTAACAATTAAAATGCTTACAGGACATTGCTCATGTACAGTACAATATATGAATATATATAATATATGAAGTATTTTCACAATTTAAGGAAAGAGTGTAACATAGATTGTTTCCTGACAGGCTGACAGGAGGAAGGATCGGACTGTGGTGGGCAGCACATCTCTCCCCTTCAACACAGCAGCATACACACAGGTGAGTCCCATCCTTATCATTCTGGAGATGGGGAGGTAGGGGAGCCTAATTGTTAAAGCATTCACTCATCATGCTGGATTTGATTCCTCACATTAGTACAATGTGTGAAGCCCATTTCTGGTGTCCCGCGCTGTGATATAGCTGGAATATTGCTAAAGACTCACTCACCTCAACTCACCTCACTCACTCACCTCACTCACCTCACCTCACCTCACCTCACCTCACCTCACCACCTCACCTCACCACACTCACTCACCTCACTCCTCACTCATGCTCTCACTCACCCCACCCCACCCTCTCACCTCACCCTCTCACCCCACCCCACCTCCACCCCACTCCACTCCACACCACCTGGTAATGCTCTCACTCACTCCCTCCTGGCCTCATATTATCCTCTTTATACTCACTCACTCACATGACTCCACTCCACTCCACTCCACTCCACTCCACTCCACTCCACTCCACTCCACTCCCTCTCCACTCCACTCTGGTGATGCTCTTTCTGCCTCATATTATCCCTCTTTATACTCACATGAGTTCAAGCTGCCAGTACTTCAAAGTGTAACAATTGCCCAACCTTTTTAATGGAGTCTTGTTTACACTAAGAATACCAGTCAACAAACAACAGTAACTGAATGATCATGAGTTTGTGTCTTCTCCCGCCAGGTGGTGCTGTATCTACGGACCTGCCTGGCTTACAGTGCCGGGATCTCCCCTGACCTGCACACCGACTCTCAGCAGGACCAAGCACCTGCTATAGCCAAGTATGTGAAGCAGCTACTGGATGCCAGCGGGGACGGGACGTCGGGGGTAGAGATGTATGTAGACATGCTCAGACAGCTGCTCAGAGCCGTGACAGGTGGGTACAAAGGTGTTAGATGTTATTCATAATTCTCCCAGGTTGTGTTTGTATACAGATCATGTAATGTTAATCCTTAGCTCTGAACTCTGTCATCAGAGGTGAGAACACATTTTTGCAGAATGTAAAGAGATGAAACAGATTGCCTATTTGATTATCAGTTTGGAGTCATTGTTTATGAAATATATCTGCATAGGTAGACATAGTGACATATGGTTAACTAGTCTGTGATATGTGACAGTGTTTATTTTTAATTATTTACTACTCATGAAATTAATGCAAACAGGAAATTAATATGAAAAATGTGAGACAAGTCTGTGATGTACTGATGTCTTATTCCAGATCCACAGGTGATGTACTGTTTGTTGGAGATTGTTGCTGTGGCTCCGGAGAAACTGGCTCCTCAGTTCAAACAGCACATGGACTGGCTCAAGGTGGGTACCCGGAAGGGTGTTGCCACATAACATGCAACATGGACATCTAGATGTTCAGATCAGGAATAAGTAATAAAATATAACAGTGTTGATAATGAAGAAGACGACAGAAGTATTTACTTTTCAGTGCGTAAGTGATTACCTTACAGTTCTTACAGTCATCCCTTGCAATGTTGCAGGGTCCATGGATGACTCTCTCTCACACTCACTCACTCACTCACTCACTCACCCTAATGCTCACTCACTCACTCACTCACTCTCACTCTCACTCTCACTCTCACTCTCACTCTCACGCGCACACACACACACACACACGCACACACCGTGTTATTAGATATGCATGTTATACATAAAGTAACAGACTTTCCTTGTGAATACCATAACTGCTATTTCATGTATTGTGCCAAGTCAAAACTATGTTGTATCATCAGAGGTAAACAAACAAACTTCGCAAATGAAAATATAAAACTTCCAATCAAACATCACAATAATTGAATAATTTCAGTTGTAGTTCCTGTTTTGCTAGCCATTGTAATATATGTAGAGATAAAGATTACTGTGTGGTAATGTGTATTGTCAATTAAGTGTTAAGCGGAAGTTGCATATAGAATGAGGGGAAATAAACATGCAGTTTCCCACGTTTTCACCAATGTTACAGTAAGTAGAGGTGAAACGGTATACCGCAGTATTAGTAGAACCCATTCCTTATCCTGACTCATGCTCTTTGCTTGTCTTCTTCTTCTTGCTAACATAGTGGAACACTTGTATCTCCCATTTGAAGCCCCTTCAAAATAAAATCACTAATTGGTACTCACCACGAAGTTGCTCCCCTTTGTCCTCCCCTGGCGGAAAAGGTGTCGCCACCCTCTGGCCATGTGCTTGCACTCTCTCCTTCTTCCAGTGAGCAGGATGTGAGAGCCTTGTGTGTCTCCTTACACACATATCCTTTGATAATCTCTTAGTTTTACCTCCTCATAGGTTACTATAGAGGTATAGCTAGTATCCTTTACTATTTGTATTGATTAATTATCGTGATTTCTACTGTTTATTCACGCGGTATTCGTGATTGTTCAGCTAGCTTTACGCTCATGAAAATCTGTACGATTTGTAGATTACGCTTTTTCTGCCTCCGATCCACATGTAATATGCCCTAGTTGTTCTACGCTGTGCGCTTAATTCACGCTTGCAGTTACTGCATTAATTTATCTCATTCTGCATTTAATAAATATCATCTTTATGCCTTAAGACGCATGCAGATAGATCACGCAAACAAGGGCAAAACATGGCAGAGAGTCCAGATATTCCTTCCAGTCAGCTGCTAGCGATCGACCCTCTCCCCGCCTGGTGTTCTGCTAGAGACCCCGCGCAGAGGAACGTGGACGCAGTCCGCTACTCAAGAAACGACCGCCTCCCCAGACATCCCGGCCATTGCAGACTAAGTCTAAGAGGGCTCTCATCGCCGCCTCAACGCAGATTGAGGACACTCCAGGGCAGCGCAGACTTCCAAAGGGAAATCTACGAAGACAGCAAGAACTTTCTCAGCCGAGATCGCTCCAGCAGCAGAGTTGGGCCTCTACGATGATCAGCCGATAATCATCCCCTCGACTTTACGGCAGAAGAAGCGACCGTGTCAGCGACTGTGACTTCTGCAGAGATCTCCATGCAGCCTGATGCCTCTACACCGACGCCAGACGCCATTGATGTGAACCCCATCGCAGAAAAGACGCTAATTTTACTTTCGCTACAGATCATCCCAGAAGACATGATGCGCAGATTATGAACATCATGGAGGACCACTACAACCGCGCTAGCAGGGTCCGAGTTTTTCGCTAAGGCTCCAACGTAGACAGCACCCCAGAGGCACCCCCAATAACGAGCAGCTAAGACGATGTCACCTTCGCTAAGGAAGTCCCGCACCACCTTGACGAAGGACCTAGATGTACAGCTCTTCGCTAAGGCCTTCGCTGGCGGAGAGATCATCACCATCTTCGATTTCATCTCTAGATATGGACTCAGACCATCAGACATCACGGAAGCCTTCGCTAAGGTCATATCATCGATCCCCTCGACCGACGCAATGAAGCTTCGCTAAGGCATTCGCGAAAAGACATATGATTCCAGATCTTCATCGCCTAGAAGAACATCGAGGGACTGCCAAGAGCTTCGCTGGGCTATCAACATTCACCTCACAAGTCTCCTAGAAGATCATCCCATAGACGATCTCCACTTCGCTCATCACCAGGTCGATCACCCATCAGATCTCCACATAGAGCGCGACAAGTCAACTAGATCGCCACAAACCTCATCAGATATTCAGATAGCTACACGCAGTCCCTAAGAGCATCTACAATTTATTAATGATGATGGTTTTGAGGATGATGGAGGAATCATATTTTCTGATGCAGAGATACGGTATTGGATGGTCAATAACCTAGATCTCACATCACCATCTAAAAGTGGCAATACAGCTCAGACGATTTGATGAAGGAAGATGATCCAGATGCAATCACTCTACCCCGATCGAATCTCGATTATGCAGTGCCACAGAATCTAGATGCAGCTTCCAGAAAGCTACGAAAAGTTCAGATACCACATCTACCCAACTTTCAAGCCAAGAAGTTCTCCACGATAACATGGACTCCTTCTACAAGGCCCAGGACATCGATGAGAACTATAAGATCATCAGCCATGTAAAGAACAAGATTTACAAGATGGATGATCGCAAGTTGGCTCATATAGAAACCATGACGAGACGTGATGTTCTTTGGGTTAAATAGATCTAGGACGCATCAATGAGACTCTTATTACTAGATTCCGGATTCCACGACGGAAGATGATAGAATGATTTATTCTGCCTTACTTATGCAAAAGAAAGATCAGCAGTTTTAACGGATCATCTTACATCTGTTTCAGCAGCACTGACCTTAGCTCGTCAGCCAAGGCCTCCTCGCCTCCTGTAATTGGGGAGAACTTTACAGCCCCACTTTATACAGCCCCGTGGTCGACAACATCCATCTTTGACGGAGAAATCGACAAGGTCGCCAAGGAAGTCTCTAAGGATTCCAGGGAAGTCCTTATGATTAGATCGATGGACACACTAGCCAGCCATTCATTCGTCAGACTTCACAAAGATACTCAGGCAGATCTAAGTTCACGGGCCTACAAAGAGCAAGAGACAGGAAGATAGCCAGCTCTAGAGGTAAAGATTCTTTCACGCCCATATGGCAACTATAGAGGAGGATCAGGAAGAGGCAGGACACCCAGAGGTTCCCGCAATTATAGACGCTGAAACACAGGTTCGAAACGACTGGAGTCTTCCACCCCAGCCGCTCCAGTACAACCAGCTCAAGTGGGTGGACGCCTCCAACTACACTGGGAAAACTGGGGAATACTGCAAGATCCTTACGCCTCCAACATTATTCAACACGGATTTCAGATCCCTCTACAGGATAAGCCTCCGCTGACAATCAAACCCCCAAGTTCGATTTACATAAGCTAAACAACTACCAAAGATAAAAGAGGCTGTCTCATCACTCCCTATCCAAACAGGCCATAGAAGTAATAGATCAAGCAAACGTCCGAACCAGGTTTCTACTCCCCAGTTTTCCTAGTTCCCAAGAAAACTCCACGGAGAAATACAGACTCATCTACAACATGAGCTTTTTCAACAAGAACTATCTACGCAAAACCACCGGGTTTCGCGATGATACATTTACCCTCAGTTACGCCAGATGATTCGGCCCTATGGACTACATGGGCAGCATAGATCTACAGGATGCCTACTTGCACATCCCCATTCATCCCGATTCCAGGAAATACCTACGATTTACTCTAGAAGGGCTACATTACCAGTGGAAAGTAATTCCATTCGAATATCATCAGCCCCTGGCTATTCACGAGGATAACGAAACCGATTATCAAATTTCTACATCGCTAAGGGCTACGAGAGCGCTTTACCTCGACGACGGGATACAAGTAGATCAAGATCCACTCATGCCTCAAACTACAGTTAAATTACATCATAAAGCTACTAACACAACTAGGTTGGTTAGTAAACTTACGCAAGTCGGACCTAGTACCATCGCAAGACCTACAGTTCCTAGGTATTCGATTCATCACAAATCGCAACCGTATTATGGTACCAGAAGACCGCTATTCAAGATACAACAGACCATTCCACCAGCTCTACTCTCTCTCCGCTACCACTGCGCATAATGGCAGAGCCTACTAGGTCTTCTCACATCAGCCCAAGACATGACTGTCACAGGCAGATTACAGTTACGCCCCTACAGGTCCTCATCAACGACATCTCAACGATGTACAACCATTCAGTCTACCAAACATCTCAGACCACATCTACTATGGTGGACCAAGAAATCGAATGTCTGCGAAGGGATTTGTTTAGCAGAGCAGGAATACAAAACCCATCTGTATGTAGATCGCCAAGTTACCCAAGGTTGGGGAGCTCATCTCACCAACCACACGATATCAGGGTTATGGAATCAGCAAGAATGCAAACCCATATAAACAGTCTAGAAATGAAAGCTGTAATCAACGCCATTCTACATTGGAGCACATTTCTACAAAATGCTACTTAATGATCCATACAGACAATTCGACAGTGGCGCTTCTATATAAACAAGCAAGGCTCAACGAGATCGATGAACCTTTTGAACCTAAGCTTTCAACTGTTCGATTTAATACAAGATCTAAATCTACATGTCAAAGCAGTGCACATTCCCCGAGCCAGAAATATACTAGCAGACGCCTCTCTCGGCCTCATCTACCATCACCGACAGAGTGGATGATCAACCGGGAAATTTTGCACAGATAATCAAGCAATTAGGAGCTCGCTTAATAGACCTATTCACCACGCCATTCAACAATCAGCTACCGACATTCGTGTCACCAGTCCCAGACCCCCAAGCTTGGGCAACGGACGCCTAAGTCTATCATGGAAGGCCTCAATGCGCACGCCGCTTCCGCCAGCAATAATACCTCAAGTATTACAGAAAATCAGACAAACACAGAGCCTACCATAACTCACTTTGGTCGCTACTCTACTGGCCGGCCAGAACGTGGTTTCCCATACTAATTCAAGAAATCGGTCAACCAACACTGGAGCTACCCAAGCGCCGCAAACCTGTTAATTCATCCTCACACCAAACAAGTGCACGGAAACCCAGCAATGTTCCAAACTACACGCATGGACTGTATACAAATGTGTTTAAACAAGAGAGGATATTCTGCCAGGGCGCAAAAGCAGTCACGCTTTGCCTTTACGCTATTCAACTCGTAGAATCTTGTAATGACGACAAGTGGCACAGTTTCAAAATTATGCAACAAAGAAAGGGTTTACAGCAAGAGAGGCTTCACAACCTCAAGTGGCAGACTATTTGTGTTACCTACCAAAACAAACATTTAAAAGGTTCAACGATATCAACATATCTTGCCAGCTTTAGCTCTGTAATCACCATGAGAACGGGTGTCAAATTGACAAGATCTCCAGAGTTACTGGCCTTACTACGAAGCTTCTCCGATTGAGGACCAAAAGCGGAAGTTCCACTTCCCAGCTTGGGATCTGAATGTAGTGTTACAACACCTCACGAGTGAGGTCTATGAACCCTTGGAATCGCATAAACTTTGAATTTCTCTCACAGAAAACATTGTTTCTGCTATCGCTAGCCACAGCAGCAAGAATGTCTGAAATTCACTTCTGGATTACGAGAGGATACAGTTTGATGACAATCATAACACAGCGCACCTCGATTAAGATGGGATTTCATTGTAAAGAATCAACTGCCAGGTCAACCAGACAGATTATTCCACATCCCGGCGCTTATCCTCTATTCTCGATCACAAGATACACAAGACCTATCACTGTGTCCGTAAGAGCTTCAAAGTTTATTTACTACGATCCAAAACAAGGAGAAGATTTCTCAAACGCTTATTCATCCCATTATCGCCACTTAATCAAACAGAAGTGTCACGAACCACAATATCTATTTGATAAGGACTGTCATTCTCCGCGGCCTACAAGGCAGCAGGCTTGGACCCACCAACAGCATCAAATCCACATGAGATCAGGGCACTGGCCTCTACCCTCGCCTCTACACGTAACTGTTCCTTGAACACGATTATGGAAGGATGCTATTGGAAATCTAACATGGTATTTGCTAATCACTACCTAAGAGACATCACTACAGAAGATGTCTCTGGCATTCACCATTTCGACCACTGGTCCTCGCCAGCAACTGACAGTCCCTCGTGAGCTGCTAAAATATTAGCCCTCACAAGATTAATATGTATTTTATACATACTCATCTAGCTTATAACTCTAAGGAGTTTTAGGGCTATGTATATATGTTCAGCTTAAGTATTCTACCTTAAGCATATACTTTGATATAGTCAATTTCTAGTGCCTCTATCAGAGTCACCTATATATATATATATATAATTTATATGTATTGTTCAATATATTCATAATGTAATTCCCCTTTAATGGCTTTATATAACCTATGGTTTTCTTTATACAGGATACATCCTAAATCTAAGACTTCATGAAGTTCCCGTAGGGGATATTACAGTATATCTATACAAAATCACTAATTATAAATCCAAAGTATTCTGTTACCCACCTCCGCCCGTGAGGATGCTACAAGTAAAAGAGCATGAGTCAGGATAAGGAAAAAATATGTAATTTTAGAGTAAAATTGATATTTTATACTTATCCTGACTCATGAGGTTAGCCCCTCCCATCCTCCCCACATAACACTTTGGATTTCCCTGTAAATTCAAGTGTTGGGCTCGCTAAATCAGGAGAGAGTGGAGCACATGGCCAGAGGGTGGCGACACCTTTTCCCGCCAGGGGAGACAAAGGGGAGCAACTCGTGGTGAGTACCAATTAGTGATTTTATTTTGAAGGAGCTTCAAATAAGGAGATACAAGTGTTCCACTATGTTCGCAAGAAGAAGAAGAAGACAAGCAAAAGAGCATGAGTCAGGATAAGTATAAAATATCAATTTTACTCTAAAAAATTACATTTTGTTTTGTACCAAATTACACTGGTTAATCCTTACATGATTAACCTCGGCACAGCTGCTGATTTGTTGATATTTCTCTGGAGAGTTTGTTTATGGGAGCCACTAAATACCCTGCAATTTAGCCGACTGCTGTATCGTGAAGGGCGTTATTGCAAGGGTTGACTATATTTACCATGAATCGTTCAGTCTCTTCAGAGTTGTTTGTCTGTTGTACAGAATCTGATATCATCCAGTAAAGATGACATACGCGCCCCAGCTGCCCAGCTGTTCTCCATTATTATCCTACACTCATCAGACAAGGCCCAGGTCATTGAAGCAGCACAGGAGTTTGCCGAAAACCTCAAAAACAAGGTACTGAGCATGGAGGGAGAATTGACTTTGCAGATAACCTAGAATGAGTGAGTGAGTTTAGTTTCACGCCGCACTCAGCAATATTCCAGCTGTATGGTGGTGGTCTGTAAATAATTGAGTCTGGACCAGACAATCCAGAGATCAACAGCATGAGCATTGATCTACGCAATTGGGTTACGATGACTTAATCGATAAGAATATTGCAATAGGTCCCAAGCATTCATTGTTCATAGTATCAATCACTGGATTATCTGGTGCACGTGAGATTATGTACTGCTGCTGTCATACTGGTTGAATAGTGTTTAGTGAGGGTTTAAGCAATAAATAAACAATCACATTGTATCTCAGACTATTGATTGTTGGCTGCAAAAATCTGGATAGTGGACGGTAGAAATTATTGTTGTTTCAGAATGTGGAGTTGAAGCAAGGTTCACTACTTGCCTTGGGTTATCTGATTGGTCAGTTGGTGAGACGTGGAAGGTCATGTGACATGCAGACAGATCAAGCCCACTGGAACCAGGAACTGATCCAGAATACAGTTCTCCTGACAGGTAGGTGGATGTTATGTACACCTGACAGGTAGGTGCATGTAGTGTACACCTGACAGGGGGATGTAGTGTACACCTGACAGGTAGGTGGATGTACTGTACACCAGACAGGTGGGTGGATGTACTGTACACCTGATAGGTAGGTGGATGGTGTACATGACAGGTATGTAGTACACCTGACAGGTAGGTGGATGTACTGTACACCAGACAGGTGGGTGGATGTAGTGTACACCAGACAGGTAGGTGGATGTAGTGTACACCTGACAGGTGGGTGGATGTACTGAACACCAGACAGGTAGGTGGATGTACTGAACACCAGACAGGTAGATTGATATAATGTACACCTGACAAGTAGATTGATATAATGTACACCTGACAGGTACTTGGATGCAATGTACGCCTGACAGGTAGGTGGATCTGATACACCTGATAGGTAGGTAAATATATTGTAGAAATAATAAGCAGATGGTTGTACTGTACGCCTGATAGGCGGAATGATGTACTGTACAACTGATATGTTGATGTACTCTAAACCTGATATTCAAATGGATGTACTGTAAGAAGGTACCAGTAAACTGATATTTGAGTAACTGTATTGTGCAACTGAACGATACCTACCAGAAGATGTCATTGATTGACAAGAGTGTGTGTTCCAGCTGGCTACATACGAGACAGCGACAGTAATCTGTTGGCCCCAGCATGCATAGCCCTTGGTGAGATAGGTCGTAATGCACCCCTACCAGTGCCCCCTGGTGGGGAGGAGGATAAGAAGGAGGACATAACCAAGTGGAACGTCATGACCTGGCTTGTCAACATGTTGAAGACCAGCAAGGAATCCAACAAGGTCAGCTATATTGGTGTTATAGATCGATCTACTTCATGAGCAAGAACTCACAGAGGCACAGATCTCTACTTTCTCTGCGCCGGTCCAACTTATGCTTGTTTTGCCAGTAGCTGGCATTATATAATGTTTGCCATGAAAAGCAGCATAATTGCTGATACCATATTAATTTCTCTCACTCTGACCCATGAAGATCTGGATTAAAATTGGTCCTCAGCAACACATGCTTGTTGTAAGGGGCGACTAATTGGGTTGGGTGATCAGGCTCACTGACTTGCTTGATGTACGTCATCGTGTCCCAAATAATATTGCTTCCCTTTCATGATTCAAAGCTCCAAACCCTAGCCTTGGTGTAGCATTTCATCAGTGATCAATGATTGTGGGTCATCCTATCTGTTAGAGTTCAAATCCATTGTTCATCTTTAATATGATGATGTGATTGTAATATTTGTTACAGGAAATAAGGTGAACCTAGATTAATTATGGGTCATCCTATCTGTTAGAGTTCAAATCCATTGTTCAACATTCATATGATGATGTGATTGTAGTGTTTGTTACAGGAAATAAGGTAAACCTAGATTCTATGAATGCTTTGTTGCAGTCTAAGGAACGAGCTGCCATGTGCCTTGGATATATCTGTGCAGGAGATGTGGAGTTTCCTCATCGCAGAAAGGCCATCACAGATCTCTTCAATGCAGTACAGGTGAGTACCTTGTGATTCCTTGTACAGTTCCCCAGCAACAGATGCAAGTCTTAAGAGGCGACCAGATGCATCAAGTGGTCAGGCTTTGTGACTTGGTTGATTGTGAGTCTTCATACCCGATGGTGTAGATTGTTGCCTACAGTGCTAGATTGTCTGGTCAAGACTTGATTATTCACTAACCTTTGTCATGAGCTACAATGTTGCATTTTACATCTAACACTTAGCGTCTCCCAGCATAAACTAATATATATTGTGCCAGTGAATGTCACAATACTGGTCTTAAAGGAGCAGACACTTTCAGCATTATTCAGTACAAATCTTAGATAGGAGGTACTTTTGTCCAAATCGAAGACATGGACAAAAGCAGCAATGACTAGCAAAAATAATTTGTGGAACTGAAAAGGTCAATAATCCTGTCCAGCAATGTTAAATTGCAAGTTAGACGTCACTGACAAAGTTGTTATTACTGATGGTTTCTACACAGAGAGGTATTGTGTGGTATTTCAGGTGAAGCAAGTGGATCTGCACTTCACTATCGGTGATGCCCTCGTCAGTGTGGCACAAGGGGGACGATCATCCTTGGTGAGGGATTTTTGGACACAGACAGAAGAAGAATTTCAGGTGAAGTCACAGCTGCTGAAACTGAATATTTTAGATGCTGGTTTTACAAGACAGGAAGTTTGAATTGCTATCCCGTGTTATGGGTTTTCGGATGCTTTTGAACTTCTGCTTCTCTATTATCGCATGGAATAATTGTAAAACGTGTCTCTGACTTATTAAAGACGACTTTATCTCAAACACAAGCCATTAACCGAGTAACCAAGCCATTACAATGCTCGCATAACACAACTCGCCTCATTGTATCTAGAATAACACTGCCATTTGAAGACGTATGACGTCTGAAAACATGTAATCCCTCAGATGAAATATAATTCATTGATCACTGAATTGTCCCTGTGTGATAGATATATGGTAAGCCGTCTGTAACACAGAATTCTTTTTCAGTAAACAGCATAATGTTGAGCTTTGTTTATCTCCCCAGGCAAGTCTTGGAGACATGCAGGATGAGGTGGAATGGTTCTTGACAGAGATTCTCAAGTCGTATGTTCAACATGCAAACCCTCATCTCAGACAGGTCAGTACATAATACAAGACAAATAAAGAAGTTGTTATCCATAAGATTTGTCTTGTATTACTACACCAACTTCTAAATGCCTTTGAAGAATTTCAGGTCAGTACATACAGCCCACACTCCCCATATTATAAGCCACCAATGATACTGCCTTGCAACAGCACAGGTCAGTGAACACTATGTGGGGCTCACTGAGGAGAATGAAAGCTACATTCTTCCTTATGTATGAAGACCCGGTTCGAATCCCCACATGGACACAATGTGTGAAGCCCATTTCTGGTGTCCCCACGGCACCGTGATGTTGCTGGAATATTGCTAAAAGCGGCGTGAAAACCAAACTCAGTCAGTCAGTCAGTCAGTCCTTATCTATGTTTTACCTATAATTCAGACATGGTCATAAGTACCTGATGGTTGCCATTAAACTTCTACTACAATGAGAATTAGATGGTTTTTATGTGTGACCTTTTTATCTTAATTTCATTGTTGCTCATAGAGGGCCAGGGGTAGCCTAGTGGATAAAGCATTGGCTTGCCGCACCAATATTGGTGTTATAGATCGATCTACTTCATGAGCAAGATCTTGCAATGCATGTAGGGAGATTCAGTTTTTCTGTTTGTGTTGGCATTCCTGTCATCAGAATTGATTGGCTGTAGTGTAGAACTATAGTACTGATCATAGCTCTGTTAAACTAAACAATGTCCTCCATGTCTCCTGACTCCAGTACAGGCTGCTGACATTTGGGTTTGTGTGGTCACACTTAATGGGACCACTTTGGATGTCACCTAACATGCACCAGGTCAGTGTGTGTCGGGTAACCTGAACCCAGTTATACAACTACTGGCATACAAAGGATAAGTTGAGCACCGACCTGGACAATTGACCAGTATTAGCCATGGGGTAGCCTAGTGGATAAAGCAATGGCTTGCCACCCCAAAGATCCAGGTTCGATTCCCAACATAGCTACAATGTGGGAAACCTACTTCTGGTTCCCCCTGTTGTGATATTGCTGGAATATTGCTAAAAGTGTTGAAAAATCACACTCACTCACTCACTGCTCACTAGTTTGCCTGGTTAATGTTTGATTATTCATAAGCAGTGTTACATTGCATGAAACTACATTTACTTACCGTCATATGTTTGCTCTATGGTGGGTCTTATGGTGTATTTTCTTCTTGTTTTATGCATAATTTATTGTCCAAAGAAGACAAAGGGATTGGGCACAAGTGCACCTCTTGTTGTTGCCTTCTCCCTGTTGAACATGGACAATATTATCAGAGACACTTTACTCCCTTGATGATGGCTGTGTTTGATGTGTTAAGGCTTCCTGCATCTGGCTGCTGTCAGTGTTGAAGAAGTGTGGCAAACACAGCTCCATCCAGACTCACATCCAGAACATCCAGAGGGCATTCATGCAGCTGCTGTCAGAGAGTGATGGTGAGACTCGCTATGCCTTGCACTTGATGTAAAATCATCTGTTTTAATGCATGATTTCATTAAAGTAAATCAAAGATTTCTCACATGATATAAGGAGGCTGCAGTAAATCACTACTGTTATTTTCTAAGAGTCTATCTATTATATTATTCTGACTTTGTGGCGGGGGATATTGGTTTGAGCTCCATCTGTCCTTCCATCCGTCCAAGATGATGTGGACAGATTTTCTCAAAAAGATAGGGAAACCAAATTTGGTATGTGTTTTCAGGACATGAGGCCTTGGAGTTAAAAAACGGAAACCATGTTACAATTTGTTACTGAGTTAAGGCCCATGTCATGTGTTTCTTGACTTAGTGCATGATATCACCAATGGGGACAGCCTTGTTTGATTTAGCTTACTTCTCTGTGTTGTAGAGATGACTCAGGATGTTGCCTCCAAAGGTCTGGGTGTGGTCTATGAAAACTGCACAGTCCAACAGAAGGACATGTTGGTGTCCGAGCTAGTCAACACACTCATGACTGGCAAAAGGTACATATGATTTTCACACAGAGAGCCGGACTGTTCTGGTAGTATAGTTACTATTGAGAAGAATGATGTCTCTTTGCCGGACCTCAAGTTAAAAAGTCAATCCTATGTTGACTACTTGGTTGCATGACAAAGTATTCATGTATTGTTGGTTTCAATGTTAAAATCATTCTTGGTATTGTTATGGCTAGAATGCATTATACCGGATACCTAGCAGGGTTAGGGTTAGGTTAGGGTTAGGGTTAGGGTAGGTTATGATTAGGGTTATTTTCATCTCAGTTATATATTTTTTCACCTTTCCGCCGCATCACGTGACCTAATTGAATATGGCAGGCAGGTATCCAGTATAATGCATGTGTACCTTTGTTATAGACATATCATATTCATACCACAGAAAAAACACATGTACATTACAGGGCGTGAGAGTTTTATTAAGGCACTCAATATTTGTTCTAGACCTAAGCAGGAAGTGAGTGGAGAAACGCAAATGTTTGAAGAAGGAAGTCTCGGCAAGACTCCTGAGGGGTAAGGAATATTATTCTTCAGTGAACGCCTTTGTCATCACAGTTATATTGATACAAGTAAGAATGTTTACAAATCATTCTCATTAGCAATGTTGGTAAAGTTATCATATTCACCACTTATTGTGTAAATGATAGATAGCATGACTGTTGTATAGTTTAATGCTAAGGAATTCACCAAATAATTGAGTCCGGATCAGACAATCTAGTGATCAACAGCTTGAGCATCGATCTATCCCAGTTGCATGGATCAATACTCAAGCTGTTGATCATTGGATGGTCTGATTCGACTTGATTATTTGGTGAATTCCTTAGCATTAAACGCGAAAAAGCTTGGGTATTGCTGAGTGTGGCGTTAAACAACAACCAAACCAAGCCAAACCAAAACTTTCTTTCCAGGGGAAGCATGTCTACATATAAGGAACTGTGTGCAATAGCCAATGATCTCAACCAGCCTGACCTCATCTATAAATTCATGCATCTTGCAAACCACAATGCCATGTGGAACTCACGGAAGGTCAGTGAACTTCTGCAGGGGTGTCACATAAACTTTCTGCTTCACTTGTTATGGAAATCTTTCTTTCATTATTATATAATGTTGCTAAACAGTCACAAGATCAAGACAATTAATTTTTCATCTTCAAACCTGTGTTCAGCTTTTGTTTTGTGTACAAAACATTGAAGTGACATTGTCATCACATTTATTTTGCAGTGGCTCGAAGGTCCTCTTCCGTTAGAGTCCATAAGAAAGAGATACCTTTTAAAACATGAAATGGATTCTCTTTACTTGTCTTTGATTGTAATACAAAATCTGTTTCTGATTAATAGTAATTATTAGGAATTAACAACATCCCTTGTGTTACTTCCAGGGTGCAGCATTTGGTTTCACCACTATCGCAGCTCAGGCTGGGGAACAGTTGGCGCCGTACTTGTCCCAGATTGTTCCTCGACTGTACCGGTACCAGTTCGACCCTAATCCCAAAATACAACAAGCCATGACCAGCATCTGGAATGCCCTGATACAGGACAACAAGAAAACTGTAAGTCTCAGGGTGTCTTATGTGTGATAGTGTAGTTAGTATGAATGACCTAAGAACAATTTGTGACAATAGTAAAATGCCCAACAGCTCCTGACAGTGTATGCCATGTTTGTGTGAACCCTCCGTAACAGCTCCTGTGATTGTTGACATAGTGTAACAGCTCCTGACAGTGTATGCCATGTTTGTGTGAACCCTCCATGATTGTTGACATAGTGTAACAGCTCCTGACAGTGTGTGGCACTGTGTGCCATGTTTGTGTGAACCCTCCATGATTGCTGACATAGTGTAACAGCTCCTGACAGTGTATGCCATGTTTGTGTGAACCCTCCATGATTGTTGACATAGTGTAACAGCTCCTGACAGTGTATGCCATGTTTGTGTGAACCCTCCATGATTGTTGACATACTGTAACAGCTCCTGACAGTGTGTGCAGTGTGTGCCATGTTTGTGTGAACCCTCCATGATTGTTGACATAGTGTACATAGTGTAACAGCTCCTGATAGTGTGTGCCATGCACTGCATGCTATGTTTGTGTGAACCCTCCATGATTGTTGACATAGTGTAACAGCTCCTGACAGTGTGTGCCACTGTTTGCCATGTTTGTGTGAACCTCCATGATTGTTGACATAGTGTAACAGCTCCTGACAGTGTATGCCTTGTTGTGTGTCCCCAGGTGGACAAGTACCTCCAGGAAATCCTGAAAGATCTCCTGAAGAACCTGACCAGCAGTCAGTGGAGGATCAGAGAGTCCAGGTCAGCAAACATCTTATGTCAACTTTCATCCAGGCCATGCTCAAATATCAGCATGTTCACAACAAAACATAAACGTCAGAACCATAATGTATAGGAATTAAAGATTTAAGGGTCCCAAGATTCAATTAGCATATAGTGAGTGAGTGAGTTTAGTTTTACGCCGCACTCAGCAATATTCCAGCTATATGGCGGCAGGTCTGTAAATAATCGAGTCTGGACCAGACAATCCAGTGATCAACATCATGAACATCGATCTGCTCAATTGGGAACCGATGACATGTGTCAACCAAGTCAGCGAGCCTGACCACCCGATCCCGTTAGTCGCCTCTTACGACAAGCTAGTCGCCAATTAGCATATAGATATATGACCATATTTGTCCTCTGTTAAGCTTTCTTTAGAGGTCTGAAGAGCATTCAGTTTTTATCGAACTTGATGCGTTTGCATGGACCATTTGGGAAATGAATATTAGACAAAGCTTGATTCAACATTTGAAATCTTGTGCTGAATGTTTTGTTTAATGTATCTGTAAGTTTAATACTGATCGTACTAAGAGGGAGTTCACATTTATAGTGTTTAGATTTGTCTCTGACTTTAGTCTGTGGCTTCAATCTTTGAACAACTTTGGTCTATGGTTTGTAATTGTATTTCAGTTATCTATGACATTACTGACTGTGTCGAAAGTTTCTGATTGAAGATGCTCAAACTCGATGCAGTTACATAGTTTTAAGTGTGTATAGTGTTATCATCTGGTATTTTGACTATTTTATTAGCTGATCTCAAGACTCAAGGTTTAGGCTAGTGGCTGTATTATCCAAGGTAAGCTGTAGAGGTGGTGGAAGTTCTTGCAGGTGCAGTTGAATGATGTAGATGCTTGTTTTGTATTCAGCTGCCTGGCAGTGACTGACCTGTTGCGAGGTCGACCTGTCGATGACATCGTTGAGCAGCTGCCCCCGCTGTGGGAGGACTGTTTGAGAGTTCGGGATGACATTAAGGTGAGACATTTTGTAAACTTCTCAGTTAACTCATCTATCTTCAAAATCGTGGGCTGGTCATTAAAGTAGGGTGGAGGGGTAGTCTGGTGGTTAAAGTGTTATCTTGTCACGCCAAAGACTCAGGTTTGATTCCCTTGTGTGTACAGAGTTTGAAGCCCATTTCTTGTGCTCTCTGTCGTGATATTCCTGGATTATTGCTAAAAGTGGCGTAAATCATACAGACTGATGAAAATAATTGCAAAATGATGTATTTTTTCAGAAATCTCTTTTGTAAAAATATAAGAAATGACAGAAATGTGCTATTTGCAGATGTGTCAGAATGTGATTAAACCAAAATGCAGTATGTCCACCCTCAAGAATACTATACTTGTTTTAAATAATTTGAATAGATGCATCATGCTTACAAGTTTGTAATCAACATTTTATGTTCTGTATTTTGATAACAAGTATCTGTGATTATTCTGAGTAACGTGAAGCAGTAATGCCCTGCAATTCTAGTTGTAAGTAATCTAACTCCAAGGAACCTCAAAACCTCTGTGTGTGAAGTAGTGTTTGGAATTGGTTGAAATCTCACAATTGATGATTACCAATGAATAATCATCGAACAAAATTGGTTAGCAAGATTTTTCAGATTTTCCAATCCAGGTTGTTATTGCAGATATGTATAACATGATGCAACTTGCTACTTTAAAGTGATGACTAATATATCATGAACATAAACTTCCTGGAGTTTTAGAGAAATATTCAGTCATGGCTTTTCAGTTAGTGAAGTGAGTTTTCTAAGAATTAAACACGTTTTCAAGACTAAAACAGTAGTTCCAAAATCGTTTATGTTCGATTATGAGAATATGTGATCGATTGCTTGGTCGTTTGGTCACTGCGACCAATCTTCGATTATTTCAATTAATCGGAACACCACTAGTGTGAAGTTCCCTGTTACATGTTCAACAACATTTTGCCTCTGCTATTTATTGCTATAGCCAGTCCAGACTTTGAATCACGACCTATGGTGTGTTGTAGGAGTCGGTGAGAAATGCTGCTGACTTGGCCTGTAAAGCTCTTAGTCGGGTAAGTAGAAAAAGTTAAAGCAGTCATTTTGTATGCTGATGTGTTTCTATGATCCTATCTGGAGTGGTGGGCTAGCCTTGTGGTTAAAGTTTCTGCTCATGCTGGAGTCTGAGGTTTGATTCCCCACAGGAATACAATTTGTGAAGCAGTTTCCTGTTACCGCCACCCCTACTAGTATTAATGGTATATTGCTAAAGGTGGTGATCTGACCATCCATCTGATTACATAATCTTCTCCATACTGACATAGCATAAGGTAGGGCAGTGGGTATAACCGGGTTCAGACATGAAAGGGATAAGCATTATGCGATACACTGATCGAAAACCGGGTATTTTGACATGCATTCGAAAACTTCGTAACACTCGAAATCTTCGGATATTTCTGTTTTTGAATTGTTCTTTTCCCTGTTTCATTAGTGCCAAATGTTACTTACATTTATATTTTATCATGATTAAAAGTTTTATAAAAGGTTAATCAATCATAGTGATTTTGTTGTGTTTTTGCTTTATAATCAAGCATTAACTCGATTATAAGTAGTTTTGTTAAAAAATAATCCTTGCAATATATTGCAATACATATCGCAATGTAATGGCCTCAAGATCGCAATATATCGCAGTCATATGAAAATTCTTCTGTGGGGTACCCACCCTAGCATAAGGGGGGGTGGTGGGCAGCCCAGTGGTTAAAGGGTTCGGCTTCAGCTTCATGCCGGGCTGGCCTGGTTTTTATTCTGCACATTGGTACAATATGTGAAGCCATTTCTGGTGTTCCCAGCTGTGATATTTCTGGAATATTGCTAAAAAAAAACAGCCATACTCACTCACTACAGCATAAGGTGACATTGTGTGCCGGTAAGTCACATCTACTGTTTCTTGTATGATGTTAGTGAAGGTTCAACAGTATATGGCATGTGTTACAGGTGTGTGTGAAGACATGTGATCCCAGCCAGGGCAAGGTGGGAAAGAGAGCCACAACCCTCATGCTGCCTTGTATTCTCAACAACAGTTTGCAGAGCACAGTCCCTGAGGTCAGAGCTATAGGGTGAGTTCTCATTTAACATTGTATTGACGATGCAACAACATTTGTAAATAGAAAATTGTTTCAACTTAACATCTTGTCAAAGAAATGTCGTATTGCTGCAATGGTGCAAGCCATGGAGTGAGTTACCTAATCATCACTGTTTGATTGATGAGAAACCTATCATTGTAGATTTGAATCACAGTTTGCCCTGATTATGTTACCTACTTGGTTTGTCTGACTGATCTGGATTAGAATTAATCTTCAGCAACCAATGCTTGTCGTAAGAGGCAAAATAATAGGGTTGGCTGGTCAGGCTCGCTGACTTGGTTCACATGTGTCATCGGTTCCCAATTGCGTAGTTGCACATGCCATTGATCACTGGATTGTCTGGTCCAGACTTGATTATTTACAGACCGCCACCATATAGCTGGAATATTACTGAGTGCGGCGTAAAACTAAACTGACTCACTCACTCACTCAATCACTTGGTTTGTTTGCACCCAACCTGTGCTCCTGGGTTTAACGAAAGTGGTAAACATGTGACTTTCATCACTACAGGCTTTCCTCCAACCTAAAGCAGTCACACTGTGGTATATCATGTTTACTATTATAATGTTCAAAGTAGCATTAAACACAACTTTCCCTCCCTCACTTCATCATGTTTTGGGACTTGTCTGACAGGTGTTATGGTTGACTTCATTAGCAATTTGTGCATGTCTGTAGTCAGTGTTTTCAGTTATTAGCTTTCCTTGAACTTAAAACAAATCTGAATCTTTAATTGCCATCCAAGAGTTTGAGTTAACTCACTTCCTCTGAACAGGCGATCAGGAAGTAAGATACATGTAATACACATTGGAAAGTTTAAAGTTGACTTGTCTGATGTCTGGTTACATGTTCTGCTGCAACATTATTTGCTCAAGCTTGAAAACCATCAGTCAGACAATAACCATCCCCTTGATTATAAGACATGGAATGATTAAATGATATGTCCCTTGTATTGTAGGCTGTCCACGCTGCTGCAGATCAGTAAGAATGCCGGCGCCTTGATGAAGCCCCACATCCCCGTCCTGGTCACTGCTCTCCTGGAGGCAGTCAGTGGGCTGGAGCCACAGGTCATGAACTATCTCAGCCTCCACGTCAGCACCCAGGCCACACAGGAAAAGGTAGAGAGGACTGATGGGAGGATGATGCACTCAGGGTGGGGGAATCAGAGTGGGAGTAGATACAGTGGAAGCTGTCTAAACCGGCACTCGTCGGGACTGAAGAAATAATCCGGTTTAGACAGAGTGCCAGATTGTACAGCAGACACGGTTACCTACGACAAGAATTGCAGCAGTTTGTCACTCTCATATACAATGTACATTGTTGTATCATGTTGTTGTGTCAATTTCTGACAATACACATCCAGCTGACAGAGCTGATTACTGTATTATAAACACATATTCAGGTGGCTCATTTCATGCTGAGATCTGTAATTGACAGCTGCCGGATTGCAGAGCTTTTTAAATGATGATAAATGTACTAGCCATGGACGGAACTGAGATTTTGTGCCGGCGTTGACAAGTTGCCGGGACAGCTGCCGGTTTTGACAGCTTCCACTATATACCCAGAGGACATGGAGATGGAGGCAGGGATATATATGTAGAGGACTTAGGTAGTGACAGATATATGTTGAGTCCATGGGGTTGGGGACAAAGATATATGTAGAGGACATCATTTTGGGGACATGGAACTGGGAATGTAGATATATGCAGCCGATATGGGATTGGACACAGATATAGGCAGAGAATGCTGGGGGGTGAATATAATGACATTTTGGTGAGACCATTTGGTTATGTCTACAAGGAGGAGAAAAGCCAGTCCATGTACATGTGCATCTTTGTCTGAGATGCAAGTTGTTTTTCATTTCTTTCACTGTTTCCTTTCTTCATCATCTATATATATGTTACTGTTCATGTAGGGTAGCCTAGTGGTTAAATCGTTCGCTTGCCGAAGACCCGGTTCCATTCCCCACATGGTGTGACCCATTTTGGGTGTCCCCCTGTGAAGAATATTGCCCACTTTCGAAGTGTGTCACCCATCATGCTGAATATTGCTCACTTTGGCGTAGAATTTCCCCGTCCATGCTAGAATGGTCACTGCCTGGCACTCTCACATTAATGGGTACCGCCTCCGGGTGTAGTGGACTGGTCGTTTCGAGTCAGTATAATAAAAGACGTGTATGGTCTGTTGGTCCCTGCCTGGCACTCGGCATTATTCAACAAGGACTTCACTCGCGGCATGGTATCTCAGTGGTAGCTCAGTGGGCACTATAAAACCAGCTTCAGTATGGGCTAGTACAAGCAGCCGCTCACACATACACACGCATGCACGTCGTCTTATGAGCGAAATATTCTCAAGCACGACGTTAAAACCCAATTCACCTCACCTCACTCTTTATGTGTGTGTTTCTCTTACTGAACATCAGCTAATGCCTTCATGTGTGTTACTGATAGTGTGTCTATGATGTGACATTATTTTGCCTGCAGCTTGACAATGCCCGTATCGCTGCCTCCAAGATGTCCCCAATGATGGAAACGATCAACAGGGTAAGGAGGCAACCTCACACAAAATATTGAAGTCAAATGGATTTGCTAAAAAGCTTACATCTTCCTTCCGATAATTAAAAAAAATATTTTATTATCTTAACATAAGTTGTCAAATTTTATGGATACTATTACCAATAGAGCACCTATAGCTCCTCCAATAACGAAGTGTTGGTCTGTTCCAGTGTGTGCAGTATGTAGACGAGTCAGTATTACCAGAGCTGGTGCCACGGCTCGTGGACCTCATCAAGAGTGGGATCGGTGTTGGAACTAAGGTAAGGTGATGGTGACACTAGGTTGACTAATACGGGTGGACATGACCACTGAGTTAATGCCACATTATTAAAATTATTGAATCAGCATTTTCTCTTAACCTGAAGGGGCGGTGGGGTAGCTGAGTGGTTAAAGCGTTCGCTCGTCACGCCGAAGACCCAGGTTCGATTACCCACATGGGTTCAATGTGTAAAGCCCATTTCTGGTGTCCCCCGCCGTGATATTGCTGGAATATTGCTAAAAGCGGCGTAGAACTAAACTCACTAACTTAACCTGAAGCTTTTACTAACCTGAATAGTCATAACGAAGAAACAAACCTTCTCAAAGCATGACATCTGCTGGCCATAAGGATACCTTTGTCAGTATACAGCACAGCTTAGTTGACAGTCATTCAAGTGAGTTATATGTGTTGATTTTCTGCACAGTACATAATGGTAGTTCAGCTACGTCCAGTGTTCTGTGTCTTGTGTATGATTGTCACCCCTCTGAAGGTGAGATTTTGTCACCCAGTGATTGTGTTGTGTTCCAGGCTGGGTGCTCCAGCTTTGTTGTGTCCCTCGTACATCAGTGCCCCCAGGATCTCAGCCCCCATGCAGGTAAGCCCCATTGTGTAGAACCACTCACCTGTCTGATCCAGGTAAAAGTAACTGAAATACTTTTCAAAAGAATGTTCACACTCCCTGATTTATGAGAACTGTATCATAATTAAAATATAGTTGGGATATATTAATCATTTTTGTGTCAAAATCAAATGAAAACTTTATGGATTTTGATTAGTCTGAGTCTTTAGTATACCGTTAATACCATGCCTTCCCAATAACATTTCGGTGAAACAGTGTGGTGTGTTTGCTGGCACTGTCAACATTATTGAGTCTCTCTCTTGATCGGGTTGCCTAAAAATCCCTCAAGTTTGTCTAATATTTTGAGTGTAACATGTTCTTGAGTCTGATAGTCATATAGAAATTATACATCTTCAAAATTTCAAGGATATTGTAACTGATTGCTAAATGATCAAAAGCTAGAAAGTTTTGTTTATGATATATATGTTATCTTTCAGATCGCCAAAGACAGTAGTGTAGAAAAGCTAATCAACCGCCTCAAGTCTTGGTATCTGGAGAAGGAAGGTAGGTGTACAGACACTGGTGATAGGAATCATCAGCAGACTAATTACCACCTGAAATGTGCCCGATGTAAAGAGGACGCGTGTCCTAAAGCTCCAGTTTCTGGTTTCAGATGAGTCTTTTCTCGACTTGCGTGTGGTTTGACCTTGCAGGCTATGAGTCAGCACAGTTCTGATTCCCTGAAGCGACATGCCACTCTAGCAATGCCACTGGCGTTCATCGCTATGCATGAGAAGATTAAGACAGGTGAGTTGTATAGGTAGGACATCAGTTACTGACCACTTCCTTTCGCTGTTTACTTGTGGGCTGTGGAAAGGGGTGAATGGTGCTATATCAAAATCAATAAAATGCTGTGTTACCATAGTAACATGAAACATAGTAACTATAACTGATACATCCATATATTTCAATGAGGTCATAAGTATTGATTGGAATTTTTTTCTGGGGATGTAGCTTACTTTGCAAACCCTCTAACACTATGTTTTTATGTCAATGGTTTGATTTACCCATCGATCAAATCTTTACACACTGTGGGGTAAGTTTTACTGAGTATTTCGTTGTTTCAGATGAGGGCGGCACGGCAGCCAGCAGCTCACAGTCAGTGTGGGAGGAGGTGTGGCAGGAGATAACTCCAGGTCTGTCAACAAAAACATTCCTTGCACTTTACTTAGCTTACCTGTCATCTCATTGTACTAATTTCCTAGGGGCTGGGGGTAGCCTCATGGTTAAAAGCGTTTGCTCATCACCCTGAGGGACCCAGGTTCAATTCCCCACATGGGTACATTGTGTGAAGCCCATTTCTGGTGTCCCCTTCTTGTGATATTGCTGGAATATTGCTAAAAGCGCTTGTAAAACCCAGCTCACTCACTAATTTCCTAGATTTAAGCAAGCAGTTAGAAATCCTAGTTTGCTGTGATAGTTGTACCTTCTCCAGGTTAATGGACCTGAAGCAAATTGATCACTTTCTGTTGCAGGCATGTGTCCAGTTTGAATCAGAAGTGTACAAACAGAAATCATGTTCTGCCTCAATTTTTAATTGTATTCGCTAATTTGTTGTGGGTTTTAGGAATACAGTTTGTTCAAGCCCTCAAAAAGCTGGTTGACAAAAATAATGATTGTCACATGACAAGGAGGAAACTAAAATATGTATGCGAAAATATACTGAATAACATTAGAAACGCACTCACCCATATAACACGAAATATCCTTGTCAGAGTGAAATGTACCCATGACATCTGAGCATCGTCAGTGCATATTAGTGTGGTGCGTTTCTAATGTTGTTCAGTATATTTTGCCATTGTGTCTTTCTTCCTTACTACATAAGCCAGACTGAGCACCCTTCCATTATGATGTAATAGTGTCAATTTAGCTGAACCATTGTCTTGTATTAACATGAAAAAATGTCCAGTACCAGCTGGGGCAGTGGGCTAGCCTAGTGGTTAAAGCTTCTGCTCGTCGTGCTGAAGACCCTGGTTCTATTCCCCACATGGGTACAATGTGTGAAGCCTATTTCGGGTGTCTGCCACTGTGATATTGCTGGAATATTGCTAAAAGAGGAGTAAACCTTTACTCACTCACTCACTCTTTGTTCAGACTCCTAACTCTCTCTCTCTCTCTCTCTCTCTCTCTCTCTCTCTCTCTCTCTCACTCTTTCACTCTTTCACTCTCTCACTCACTCTACCCCAGTCACTCATACTCCCTTTCACTCTCATTTACGCTCACTCTCTCTCTCTCTCTCTCTCTCACTCACTCACTCACTCCAGTACCAGTGTATGATTTAAGAGAAGCTTGGTTATTATGCTGCTTCCCAATCCAAAGATGTTCAAGTCCAGTGTTTGTATATCAGGGACGGAGGGAGGCCTGCGACTGTACATCTCTGAGGTGGTGGAGCTCCTGCAGGTGTCCCTGGAGTCCCAGCTGTGGAGCACCAAGGCCCAGGCCGCTGCTGCCATGAGCACCGTGGCAACCAAACTTGGGTCATCACTGGGACCTCCACATCTCGGCAACCTCCTCACAGCGCTGCTCAACGGCCTCCAGGGCAGGACGTGGGATGGCAAGGTAATTTCTTCAAGGAATTTGTGAAATTGAGAAGACTGGTGGTTTGATATGGGTGATTTTTTATTATTAATGATGTCATCATTTTTGGCATGATTAGTTTGTGAAATACAGAATACTACATTTATTATGAAGACGCTTAGAACGAACTTACATATGTTACAAACTTTATTTTTGTCTCGGACACTTGATGTATACTTTAGTCGAAATGCCTATAACGAAGTACGGTTTTAAATTAATGGTGTATTTGAGTTCTTTATGATCACATTTTATCTAATTATGATATTGTAGTTCCTGTGATTGTATTTCTCGTTAGAAGTTATCTTGACTTATTATATTATATTGCTTATAAATGTGCTTGTGTCTTGTTTCTTCAGGAAGCCCTCCTCCAGGCTTTGTCCACAGTATGCACATCCTGCAAGTAAGTAAACAGTCTTGTCATCAATCAAAAGATTTTGTGATACCTTCATGTATGTGGGATGAGAATGCTCTTTCATCTAAGTTGGTTCGTTGTTAAACTCCTCAGCAATATTCCAGCTATATGGCACCATTCTGTAAATATTTGAGTCTGGACCAGACAATCCAGTGATCAACAGTATGAGCATTGATCTCACGATGTGATGCGATGACATGTGTCAACCAAGTCAGCGAAGTCTGACCACCTGATCCTGTTAGTCACCTCTTACGGCAAGCATGTGGTGTTTAAGACCAATCTTTACCGAATCTTCACGCTTAGACATCTAAGGAACAGTGGGTCCGACATCTAACTATAGACCTATATCTGTCAGCACTGTACCATCCCTATTGGTTTCCTTTGAGAGGAATAGTCTGTGGTGTTTGAATGTCCAACATTCCGCTCCATATGTGATGATTTATTTGTTGTTTAATGCTTCACTCAGCAATATTACATCTCCGTAAACAATCAAATCTAGACTGGCGGATTGATTCAGTTAGCATGGACAGGATGACATGCAAGTCACTGATCCTGACCAAATTATAAAGTTAGTGGCTTTCTCAAATTCTAGCCGCTAAGATCAGCATGAGAGGATGTGGAATGATTTGAGTGGAATGGAACTCACTGCAGGACAATCTGTGAGCTTCACACTACTATATATATATAGGGTAGCTTAGAGCATGGCTGAAATATTGCGGAGGTGACGATACAAACGCTTAACTCACTTACTAGAGGATTAGCTTTCACCAGTCACAACTACTTTTCCACAGCATTATCTTGAACCTACCAGATTACCTCTAATAAGCGCCTGGTCACTTATTTTTCAAGAGACTTCCAGATCCAGCTTTATTAGAAGCTCAACACTTTTATGCGCTTACTGGGCGTAATTACACCGAATTATTAGTGATCTGCTTTACCCGGTGCTTATTAGGGGCCTGGCTTCATTAGAGGAAATGCGGCATTTCTTGTGTCGCTTGCTGTCAGTTTGGTACATTCTAAAAACGCAGTCACACTCCACTCACTCTATGACTTTTGTTGATTCAGGGACACTATCAAAGAAAAAGGACATAGCAGGACAACCCAAGATTAAAGAGGTAAAAGGATTTGGTGCAGGCTATTAATGTAATACTGCTGGAATATAAGATGTTTATTAGATATCTCATGCCATAATTATGGCTAAATACAATCAATCACAGCTAATGTGGTTCAGTGTAAGGGTGGGCGGTGGGGTAGCCTTGTGGTTAAACCGCTCTGGGTTCGATTCCCCACTTGGGTACAGTGTGTGTCCCATGCCATGATACTGCTGGAATATTGCTATAAGAGGCATAAAACTAAACTCACCTCACTCAGAGTAAGTGTCCTGCACACTGTGTTTCATCTTAAGGGCTGATTAACATGACTATTGGGTGGTTGTGGTATGTCACTTCCACATTGAACCCTCAACAGCTTGAATAGTTCCTTATGCTATCTTATTTCTTACTATTATTTGCAGCTTTCTGTGATCTAAATTGTAATACTGCTGATTGAAACTTTCACTTGCTTGCACAGACTCTTATGATTTATGTAGCAATATGTCAAATAAATCTGACATGTTTTGGGCAGACAAATTACAATTACCCTTTGTTTCTTAGATTGTTGAGGCAGTTCTTCTGTGAGTCTCCGAAAGGAGGGCCAGCTTACAAGATTGAAGCATTGAAGTGTCTTGGTGCCATCATTGAGGCATGCACGAAGTTGGATCTGTTCCAGGACGTGGGGATATACTGCTACCCATGATAAAGGTAAGAGGTGTATCTTTGTTTCCACGGATACCAGTGAAAAAGGACTTATGACATTTTCTTGCAGAATACACATTTTTTAACATCATGTAGATATCAGCTGTTCAGCACATCACTATTGCAGACTAGTGAAAAATAAAACTTATTCCCTAACCCTGCATTTAGAGATGCATCTCTCAAACCTCTGTTTAGGGAGAATTTGGTGACAGAAAAGGTTCTCTAGCCCCTCATTTTAAGGAGCTAATGGGGATCTGTTGACCAACATGGTTACAGAGAGGGATGTACAAATAGAGGATATTATATGAGTGCCCATGTCATACTATGTTTATGACACGAAAGTGCCTAAATGTTGGTATTTCCGAGGCAGATGCTAGGGATATGATATGGGGAGCATGTGTCATCGCTACGTCGACCTCGCACCATGGAGGGGCACGCCAAAAAGCACTACAATCAGATTATTATGACCCTGGATAACCCAAGCTGCCTGTGAGGGCACTAGATGGTTAATAGTGACATGACTTATCCCACTGGGTACCCATTTTCTGCTGAGTGAACAGAGGCAAAAGTTTGAACAAACTCACTTTGCCTAAGGGACCGCCTTCATAATTTATGGCTAGGGCGGGTGATGATGATTTTAAGGGGGGCCACCCATTTTGTTCTGGGGAGCTAGGGGTCAGCCATTTTGTACACACAACAGCGATTGGGGGGGCTCAGCAATTTTGTGCCATAAAAATATGTTTAAAATTATGCTCAGGAAATTATGGGAAGGAGAGGGTCATTGATTTTGTACATGACTATGCAAGGGGGGCACTTATTTTGTACATAAATTTTAGGGGGGGAATCATTCACATTGTACATGCTTCTCCATAAATGATCATCACCACCACCACCCCTAGCCATAAATTATGAACGGTCCCTAAGGTGAGACCTCATATATCACATGTGCTTCGTTGTGGGGCAGGATTGAAGTCCTAGAAACTCTCAGGAGTCAAGCTGTCAAACACGGTCACTTCATCCAAGGACTCCTCCTCGTGCCCAATGTTGCTTAACCTCAACTAATTTGTGACCTTGAGCTCTAAACACAGGACCACACACCACCACTTTATCAGCTGATTTAGCCATAGCACAGTAATAAGACTGAAACACCCTCAGACAAATATGTATCTGTAACAATAACTGTTATAACTGTATGAGGGGCGGTTTGGCAGCCTAGTGGTTAAAGCGTTAAACTCGTTATCAAGGCTGGGTTCGATTCCCCACATGGGTACAATTTGTTAAGCCCATTTCTGGTGTCCCCAGCCGTGATATTGCTGGAATATTGCTAAAGCGGGGTAAAACTAAACTCAGTCAGTCAGTATAACTGAATGAGGACAAAACAAAACTGATAACTTGAGGTCCGGCCATCACTATGATGTAGAAACATTGAATACATATATAAATGACATTCATTCCAGTATTTTAAGGCTAGTATGACTATTTCAGGAAAAGGAATCGGACAAGGATGAAGACAAGGATGATGTACCATCTGCCGTGGAAGCACAACCTGAAGGAGTGTGCCTACACGACCCTGGGGAGAGCTGGCCCAGCACAGCCGACACACATGGTGGGTGGCCTGTACACATGTAGTAGCCAGGACATTAAGCATGCTTTAAATATATCTACTGGTGTTTAATTATAATTTATTATTAATTTGCAGTTGTGGAATAGTATTTTACTTGAGTAGAATGGCCTTCGATAATGTGTTACTGGGATACCCTCCTACATATGCTGATATGCTATATCACTGAACTACTGTTAAATTCTCACTCACTCCACCCATGAAGATCCGGGTTAGAATTGGTCATCAGTAACCCATTCTTGTCATAAGAGGCTTACTTAACGGGATCGGGTGGTCAGGCTCACTGACTTGGTTGACGCGTGTCATTGTATCCCAATAGCGTTGATCGATGCTCATGATGTTGATCATTGGATTGTCTGGGCAGGCTCAATTATTTACAGACCACTGCCATATAGCTGGAATTTTGTTGAGTGTGTATGTAAACCTAAACTCATTCACCGTTGCTGTAGTCATGGACATAGTGTACCCGGCAGTCATGTCCTGTTGAACACACTTTGGAAGGTGTATCTATATTTCTGTATGTCTGTTCACTTCCAAATTACAAACTTTTATTTTGAAAACATTACAGGTATCGATGTTGGATGAACAGATTTGCCACATTTATGTATCGTCTCCTGTTCTCAAGTTTTACTTTATATCAGAATTTGTCAGATGATTTTACATTAAAATTGTTTTGTACCTTGCAGGTGAGTTCCAGGGTCGAGTGTGTGAATCACTGTGTGAGGGGTGCCAGTCAATGCATGGAAGGGCCAAGTCACCATACTGAAGACAATGCACAAGTTTGTTGACAGGTGAGAGATAGACCTTCAGGTTAGAGGGTGAGCTCCTCATTGCCAAATATGACAATATGTAATAAATTGCTCCAAGCACCTGGCACTTGATGATAGCACTGCAATGTACCATGCAGATATGTACCATGCCATATATTACTAGGTATAGATCACAATACCGAACAAAGTGAATGAAAGAATTCTTACATTGATAATCATTATGTGTAAGGATTTTAATGCAAGATTCATAATTTTTCACGGTTTTGGTTTTCATGATGATTCTGCCACAGTGTTCCTATCATGTTTTACCCGTGAAGATCCAGGTTAAAATTGGTCTTCAGGGTGGTCAACCCACACTTGTTGTAGAGGCGACTAATGGGTCATATAGCTGGAATATTGCTGACTGTATGTTAAACAACAACAAACAAAAGAATCCTATCATGTTTGAGTTTGATAATGCTGTTCAGAATTCTGTTAGACAAGCCATACAACATACCACTGCAATAGTGTCGTCTTGATAACAAAAGGTGTGCAGTTCTATGCCCTGTGATGGATCACCTCAGCGATCAATGAGTTTAGAACAGGGCTACCCTCATGTTAATCCGATTTAGAATTGAGCTTCGGTAACCCATTCTTGTCATAAGAGGCGACTAACGGGATTGGGTGGTCAGGCTCATGGACTTGGTTGACACATGTCATTGTATCCCAATCACATAGATCAAGGCTCATGCTGTTGATCACTGCATTGTCTGGTCCAGACCCGATTATTTACAGACTGCCGCCATGTAGCTGGAATATTGCTGAGTGTGGCGTAAAACTAGCCTCACTCACTCACCCTTGTCAAGAATGCTGTGAAAAACATGTTCAAACGCCATTCAGCTGCCTGTGTGTGGTAATGTGACTAAATCAGAGCTGCGGTGTACTTTCAGGTTATCATGTCTGAGGAAGGAGAACATTACGAGGGACCCAAGTCCAGTGATCCCCATCGTAGACAAGCTGCTGGTTACTGTGATACCCCTTCTAGGTACTACAGTCCCGTAACACACAAAGTGTTTCTCAGTCACAGATTCACATCATGTTAACACACAATAATACTCACGTGATACTTCTCCATGGGCAGATGTGGCAAACCCTTCAAAGGAGGTTTATAAGAACCATAAGAGAACTTTGAACTAACAATTTAAGTGATGGGTGCAGTGGTTCTTGAGCAAATCAAACAAACTTGATGAAATAAATTACATTTTTTATTAAAGGATACTGTTGGGATTAGTCCAATTCCAATAAACCCTTTGGAGATATTTCACCTGAACTAGATTGGAATTCCAAGATTTTACAAGAAATGTCTGGATGATTTTATGTACAAGCATTCAGCAATGGGTGTGTATTTTCAGGTAACATGAAGTATGCTGTGATCCGAACTGAATCTCTTGCTGTGATAGAAAGTATTGTGTCAAAGCTACATGGTAAGCATATCTGATGATTGATTAGTTTACTGTAGAGAGTTGAAGAATCTGTTAATCTCTAAGCTTAATGAACAATAAAGGGAGACATTGATGATAGCTTAGTCCATTTCAAATGAACACCATAGAGTTATGTCTCTTTATGAATATCCTATGCACAACTTGTGAATGAAACCAGTTCGGCAAACAGCAACATCACCATGTGCGACAGTTTTCGATGTACTGAGCAATTGTTTACATTCCATATATGGCAAGTGTTCTCTGTTTGGAAGCTGTTTTCCTCGAAGTTTCACTTATTGATCTCAGACAAGTCGTAAGGGATAATAAGTCTTTTATTGCAACAATAGTAAGCTAAAAAGAGTGCACATACCCCAGTATATGTAATGTAGGCCAAAATATTGTTTAAAATGTGTGACATTGTGCAAAGCAAAGATGAATTTGTAAGAAGTGAAAAATGATGGAGAAACTACTTAATATAGTGCTCAAAAGATGTTAAGGACCACCCGATTCCTTCATGTTACAATAGTCAGTCCTGATTCCATGACTAAATAATGTGAAAGAATGGGGTGGTTTTAACTTATTTTGAATAGCATACTCACCAGTAGAACATGGTAATAGCCAAGTAATAATTAGGAGAGACGTTACTGTGACAAGAATAATCGGTACTTGAACAGGTTCACTGTCGAAGATGATTTGAAATGGGATATTGTATGATTTGATATATTTTCTCCTTCCCTAGATGCTGGTCAGTTACCTCTGCTATCTCGCACCAGTGTTGGTAACAAGCTTGTGGAGGAGTTATCTCCCATGTGCGAAGATGGAGTTTATGAACTCAGAGAAAAAGCTGCTGACTTAAAGAAGCTCCTGACTGCATCAGCGTGATACTAAAGTTACCTGCCCTTGATAGACATGACCTTTAGACATTCCTATCAAAGACTGTATGAGAGGTCTGGCTGCAAGGATCCAGAGTTTGAGAAGTCCAAAATGAATATCTTTACACCTAATGACTTCACCAGCAAAGGCATACATGGGCTTCCACTACTACAAGCTGAAGTCACATTGATACACACCTTAATCAATATGTTCTGTCTGGTTCTGGTTGATGTTTGAGAGCGGTGTCCGTATGCTCTGGTAGGCATGGACGTCTATTTGTCATGTATAGGTCTTCATTGGTGTCCCGCAGCTTCAGCCTGTGTTGACATTCATTTGAATTACAACTGAGGTCATCATTTTCAGAGATGCCAACCCTTACGCTTTGGGCGTAATTATTACGACTTTGACCATTAAATGACGCCATTACACTTAATCTGTGAAAATTACGCTTTTCTACCCGTTTTGCGAAAATCAATAAAGTGGATAAAATTTCACAGGGAATATTTTTCGTAACGCACTAGTGCAGGGGTTCAGAAATGGCCTTACACCAATAGGAATCGCTTACTCTTAGCAATGCGCTCATTCAAATTAACTTGTAAGGAATTAAAGTATTTTGTGTCACCTGACCAACAATTTTTGATGTATGGAACTGCATAATGATTGGTCACTTGTATTTCTGTCTAGAATCTTTCCTATTCATGTGAATAAACCTTTTTAAAAGTATTTTTTATAAAGTTATCACCTTTCACTATGTAAGTGTTTTATGTATTACACTTTTTAGGTCCAAATTACACTTTTTGACCTCCAGTATTACACTTAGGCCCAAAATAGGGTTGGCATCTCTGCATTTTGCGTAGAGCATGTCAGGTAAACTAAACAATAGTCATCACCTGTAATGTGATATGTCGTAACACTGACAAACCTTTCAGCTGACTTGTCATAGCATGATAGTCATCAGCCTAAACTCTGATCAAGTCCAATGTTCGATGTTGACAAGAACTTGATTATCATGCTTGCGGAATCATATACTACTCAAACAAGTTGCAGAGCACTCAATTAATTCATAATACTTTAGTTAATCTGTCTTACCTTGATAGATGTACCATGGTAATATGAAAGAATTGGGGTTTGTTCTGAGTATTTTTGGTGTTATTGCTGATTACATTTCCATTATACTTAATTTGGTATATCTTTGTTGACTGTAAGCACCAACTGCTCCTGTGCTTCCTCTTTGTACCATCTTTTAAAGGGGGTGTGCCACACGTTGCCTGAATTTGGTCACTTCCTACGTTTCATGGTTCATGTCTTCAAGGAGGGTTCTTATTTCATGTTCTAGAAATAGTCATTCCTGTTGTTGAAATGTCTGTGTCATATGTTGGTTTGTCCAGAATAGTATATAGATTGGTGTTGAGCCTGGCAAGAAGGGCTTACTGAGTCCATGATACATGATACATGATGAGTACATGATACAACTGATGGGGTTGACACTACAGTGTGGACAAGGGAAATGTTGTTGAGTTTCTGGGACTGCACATGAAAATTGGCATTGTTTTACACCTGATACTATTATTACAGAGTGGATAGTAATAAACTTAAATAACATGTAACCATGGTAACAGATGTCACAACAAAACAATTACCATCCTTTCCAAAACGATTTCTAGCATTTTCCGACAAATTACCAAATAATTTCTATGTGGTGATTACGTAAACATGACTTGAATTTATCAATATTCCCATGCAATCCATTTTCTTATTCAAGTAACTTTGGAATCTTATTAGGTGGAGGGAGTTGGGATGGGGAAGTGGTTAATGTGTTGGCTCACCTGAAGTTCAATTTTCAACATGGGTACAATATGTGAGCCCATTTCTCACCATATTCTCTTATTATTTGAATTGTGGGATTTAAGTATTAGGTACCATTCATTTAAAAATTCCACATGTTTCATTCAACATACTTATCTGTTTACGTGTTTCTTGTTTTGGGTTTTTTTCCAAAGCAGGTTAAGGTAATACTGTTGATGATTTTGAACCTTAGATCTTTAACCACCATCTACAGCAAACCTTATATTAAAGGAAACGACATGTTTGTCTTCATCTTATGGCGTCCACTGCTAGAAACCAGATGATATTTTTACTCTGTGTCATACTTGTGATTAGACCATACTGTCCAGATTAATCAAGTTTCACTGTTATGAGAGTCCATTTCATGTTGTTCAATGCTTGATCTTGTTTGAATTCATTGGTATTGGTTTTTATAACATTGTCTTTAACATTGTCTTTAATGTTAGAAGTGATTTGTAAACTTAAAGATGTACTACTCTCTATATTTGTTGAACATTCGTTGTTGTCTTTTCTCAATTGTACTTACAAGTTAATGGTGACATTTTCTAAAATTCAAAAGAATGACTCCAAGAGCAATGATCCTAATGAAGTCTCATTAGATACTATACCAAGTGACAAGTTGTCAGAGATAAATGTTTTTCAGTAATGAATTTCTACAGTATGATGAATGTTGATCTTTGCCTCAAGTGCTGCAGGAGTTATCTGATCTGTGTGACAGGTGGAGAAATTCTGTGTTGAATGAGACTCGGGACAGGTAGATCAGTCTGTGGATGCATTAATCCTACCTGCTGTCCTTTGTTTTAGGTGTATGGTGACCTGCATGAGTTGTAAGATAATATGACATATTATTTATGGTATTAAAAATGCTTGTATCTCAAGGGCCACCTGTCTGTTATTACATACCTGAGACTGTCCATGGAACTATATAAGCCACGTTGAAATTATTATCCAATTTTACGCTCATTCAACATAGCCTCATTAGGGTTACTTTTGACTTTTTATGTACCATTCTGGAAAATTATTTACAATTCTTGAAACTCTCATTCATAATTTCAATCTTGTTTTCATGCCTGTGGCCAAAATATTGAATATCATACTTTTGTCCAGGTGTCCGGTTTATCCAGGTTGAGGTATCTTTCCCAGGTACTAGTATGTCCAGTTTATCAGGTCCCACAGTATATCATGTTTACTATGACAGGTGTCCGGTTTATCCAGGTTGACCTGAGGTATGTGTCCCACAGTATGTCATGTTTACTATGACAGGTGTCTGACCCAGTGAACTGTGTGTTTGTTCTGTTGGTATCGGAATGGATGGGTGGAGATTTCCCCACAATAAACAGGATGTCCTATCTCTATATGTGTTGTGTTGTGTATGTTTATTTGTCTGTACATGAAATGCAGATTGTTGAGGGATAAATGGTCAAGGTGAACTTGTGCCCTCTCAGTTCTCTGTGCAGAGCTGCCCAGATTCCGTTCATGATTGCAGTATGAAGCTTACAAGACCATGATCACAATCACAGGGGCGTGTCACGCTGAGAAACAGCGTTAGAAAGACATATACGTATGTAGACCCTACCCTAGTACTATATAAAAGGAAAGGGATGTAACCTGCGGAGGTTGCTGTTTTCGGTGAGTCGTGGCGTATAACTTTTGAAATAATGATCCGATTGTGACCATTTATAGCTCATTTTGTAGGGAAATCATCTCGCTTTTGATCCGTAGGCCTCGACGGGACCTTAAAATAGTTTACTTGGTGAAATCTAACTTAGATTGAGGAGGGGGGTGGTTCCGTGGTTTTACATCCCTTTCCTTTTTATATAGTACTAGGGTAGGGTCTCTATACGTATATGTCTTTCTAACGCTGTTTCTAAGCATGACACGCCCCTGTGATCACAGTCACAATCATGGCTGGTGTGGGACTGAAACCTTAGACTAATGGGCCATCTGTGTATTCCTAGCTTGAATCAAAAGACAATAACGGGCGATGTTGTTCGTGAAGATATGACACAACTGGAATAATGTTCAAAGCAGCCTTGGACCAAAGTCAATCATTCGCTTTAAGTCATAACATGTACATGAACTTGTCGATGGTGGGATGTGTAGAATATCATCTCAAGCTTTATGGGACAATCTGAACCTGCCATTTGTCTAGAGACCCCATGGCTGTGTATAAACCATGTACATCTTAACTTACTCCGGGCGGTGGGGTAGCCTAGTGGTTAAAGCGTTGGCTCGTCACGCCGAAGGCGGGTTCGATTCCCCACATGGGTACAATGTGTTAAGCCCATTTCTGGTGTCCCCCGCCGCGTGATATTGCTGGAATATTGCTAAAAGCGGCGTAAAACTAAACTCAGTCAGTCAGTTAACTTACTCCCCGACTGCTGATAAGCAGGGTAGATGTTCTGATCCGAACTGTGATAGACTGCATCAGTCCAGTCTTTTCATGACGTAATCCAGTCCGGGGCGGTGGGGTAGCCCAGTGGTTAAAGCGTTGGCTCGTCAAGCCGAGGACCCGGGTTCGAATCCCCACATGGGAACAATTTGTGAAGCCCATTTCTGGTGTCCCCCGCCGTGATGTTGCTGGAATATTGCTAAAAGCGGCGTAAAACCAAATTCAGTCAGTCAGTCAGTCGTAATCCAGTCCAAGGTCCGCACATCTGCCTACGATGATGAAGAGCCAGGGTTCTAATCACATCCTGTATTCTATCACTATTCTCCTCTTAGGGCAGCTCAATATCTGCCTGGTCGTGTTTATATGGTTCAAATGGAGTGTGAACGCATGGGAACTATTGTACTAAATGCATGGAAACGTATGTAGTCTGTTCTGAACATCATTTGCGATTACACCGCGTAATGTGGTGTAGACATACATAAATATACACCTGGAACATAATAATCTTCTCTAATAATATATTTGCATATAAAATAACATTTCTTAAAAATCGTATCCAGTGTGTTTTCTAACGACACAAATAAACTGTTTTTGTTCTGGAAGTAACATTCTGAAGTAGAGAAGCTTGTAACAACATGTCCTTGATGTATTCCTTGTAATAGTTATATATCTACCTTTCCATCTACTGACACCCTATAAGATCCGGGTTAGAATTGATCTTAAGCAACCCATGCTTGTCGTAAGAAGCGACTAACGGGATCGGGTTGTCAGGCTCGCTGACTTGTTGACGCATGTCATCGGTTCCCAATTGCGCAGATCGATGCACATGCTGTTGATCACTGACCGATTGTCTGGTCCGGAGTCGATTATTTACAGATCGCCGCCATATAGCTGGAATAACGCTGAGTGCAGGCGTGCACATGCTGTTAAACACTGGATTGTCTCAGAGTCGATTATTTACAGATCGCCTCCATATGGCTGGAAAAGTTCTGAGTGCGGCGTTAAACAACAAAACCAAACCAAACATACAGTCCCTGATCTTGCTGACAATAAATGATAAGGTCAAGTCCGTGCAACAGTCAGTACGAAAATACAGTGGACAATGTTGTATATCAACTTCTTTTTTATCAGATATATCAGCCATTTAGCAAAACCAATGCCAAATGCAGAAATTGCCAAAAGACAGATGAAGGTTCGGTTTTAATAAAATTATATTCGTGCTTGACGTTTTTTCAATTGTGTAGGAGTATATTCCATATGTATATTGATCGTCTATGCTTCAGATATTTAGAATTTAATTATATTATGTATACATTACGAGTTACGCAACACTGATTATCACTTTGGTGTAATGTGATTAATAGAAATTTACTTTATGCCACGATGGAACAGGTATTTTATAATAAATTGATGTTAGAGCTGATTTTTGGTTGGGTTAATTAAATCAAAACGTACAAAAAGAACATATATCTGCGTTTAAAATGAACAGAGAGAGCAAGCAGTATGTTCTCAGTATGTTCACAGTAAATGCGGCAGCATCACTTCAGTGTGTAGAAGGTAAGTGCGACTTTGCATAACATTTAGGGTGTTTGTTTTGAGAATTTTGCTTTCGTAACCGGGGCAGCTGAAGCTATAGCACGTCGTATGTCCTTTGCATTGTTGTCTCTCAAAGTGCTCACAAAATTCAGATCCGCATTTCAACATGGCCGATGTGGAAGCCATATTTATATGACACCTTATGCATTTTGCCAGTCGTATTAGGCACGTGTATTTCTAACGTTGGCATGTACAAATGCTTTAAATGGGTTATTATGCGTATAGGATCTTGCCAATGGTGTCGCTGAATTGATTCACAATAAGTACAAGCTAATTTCAAACAAGTAGCTCACCCTAAATTGCACATGTTTATATCATTGAAACTACAAGCACTATTCCAAATACACCCGCATATGCCGGTTCTATAATGTTATCAACTGTATATTAATCGAATGAGGTTGTAGTAGAACCAAATGTGTTGTCATGTTTGTAAGCAAACTATTATCGCTTGATTCTTCACTCTGTTGTGTGAACATCGATGTTTGATTTACACATTAACTGTTACTTGAATGGAAGATAGGTACCTTCAGTAATATATGTCCATGGGCGTCTGACGTGTATCGGGGCGGTGGGGTAGCCTATTGGTTAAAGCGTTGGCTCGTCACGCCGAAGGCCCGGGTTCAATTCCCCACATGGGCAAAATGTTTGAAGCCCATTTCTGGTGTCCCCGCCAAGATATTGCTGGAATATTACTAAAAGCGGCGTAAAACTAAACTCAGTCAGTCAGTCTGACATGTATCACCCCTTTTCATGTTCCTGTATCTCCAGACCCGATAACAAACATTCAATTAGTGTAAAGCCATGTAGTTCTGCACACAGCAAACGCCATCGGAACTTCAAATTATATTGATTAAATCGAACCACGGATACATTAATGTAGGTCTGGGGCCAGCTTACTTACACGTCGTGTGTTAAAGGCTTAAAAGACCAACAGGTGATGTAATCCCCCACCTTAATGAGAAACGGGACATCAAGGCAATAAAAAATATAACCAGTCGAAGAGATCCATTGTGCGAAAGTCTGTAACACAAACTCCCGCTACATTGCTCCAGGGTAAGGCGGTCAGCTCGGAGACACCCGTGATCAGTGTCGTGTATTATATACGAGGTTGCAACAAATGTGGCGACATGGGGTGAGGGGGAGTGGGCTAGAGCGCCACGCTGCCTCGGGGCAGGACTGGTAGGGTGACTAAAGGTTCCAGATACTGTTAGAATCTCGATGTTGAAAACATATCTCGTACAGTCTGTCATAATTCTATGAGGAATGGCTAGTGTTTTTCTCTTCTTAAATTAGCATCATGTGTATTTATCATCCAAAACTGTGTTCCACAGGAGATATTGCTTGTGTGAGATCAAACGATATCTCTTAGGGGATATCGTGTAGACAGTAGATTTTGTACAATGCCCTGACAATGCTATGGCGTCATGAACTTGATGATGTCACGATGCTATGACATCGCTGCAATGCAAGTCTAATGACCGTACCGTGTTCAGAGATGTACATTTTCCATTTAAAACTAATGAAGAGTGATTCTGGATGATAAACAGAATCTCCCCCTCGTGTCTTGTAATATCAAATATATCAACACTCGTTGATAAATGTTAAAATATCCTCGGCAAGCCTCGGATATTTGTAACTTTATCAACTCGTGTTGATATAATTGATATCAGAAGACACTTGGGTGAGATTCTCTATATATTCTGTACCCTTGACGAGACTGTCTGTTTGTCTGACATATTGTAGTCGAACATATCTAGTATCTCCGGTTAACCTATTATTGGTTTTACAAGCGAAAACGTAATTCTGCGTCTGCTTTTACTACTACTACTACTGCTGCTGCTGTTACTACTACTACTACTACCAGGATCGGGTGTTCAGGATCGCTGACCTGGATGATGGGTGTCATTGTATCCCATGTATCGATGTTCATTACGTCAATCACTGGATTGTCTGGTCCAAACTCAATTATTTCAAGACCGTGGTCTTATAGCTGGAACATTGCAGAGTGGGGCGTTCAACAAACGTACAAACTACTACTACTACTACTACTACTACTACCGATTAACAGTCAGCCAGTATACTAACTAACGTTACCTCTCCCCCAATGTTTAATGAATGACACCTACATGTATCGGATGGTTATTGTCTGACTCACCCTCAAACTCTGAAACAGACCTTGTGATTCCCATAAATAGTTCCAACTAATTGTTTGATAGGCACTCTAGAAATTGGTGAGTCAAAAATGAAACATACAACTTTATGGATAACAACTTCTTATTTATTGCATAGAGCGACGTTTCAATGTAGATTCTTACACCGTTGTCAAGCTAAAAGTGAATACAACCATATGATGAGAGGTATATATAAACAGTAGGTTTTGACATTAACAATATGTTATTGAATAACAACTGGTGCAAAATTGGGAGAGAGCAGTAGGGGACTGACTAAGTTATTGGCTTCGTCACCAGTCTAATTTGTTGTTCTCATCCATAAAGTTGTATGTTTCACTTTTAGTTCTATCTATAACAAGGGACGTTGTTTTGTCGTACATGGAAAAAACCGCTTATTGGATATAGTCAAATTTCGCGTACGGAGAGGGATGTTGATCATATCCGTACGCGCCTACACATATTGTTGGAACAATATTAATAAACACCCTGCTCCCTGCTTTGTTAGGGATTTAACGAGCGCTTCACATAACTGTGGATTAAGTAATAAAACCCAAGTGATCTCACACCCCTGAACCCGCTGATGGTGACAGTATTGTTGCTTCAACAAACCCCCAGTTTATATGAGTGCCTGTCAACACCTCAACACGACCTCCGCGTCTCAACAAGTACACCACGGGGAGACTCACCTGAGTGCTGACACCAGCAAACCCCTAATTAACACAGAGCGTTACCTGGACTTGTTCTCGATTCGCACCTACATGAACAACAAACTGCATGTCACAACTCAACAACATACGTTTCAGGACTACTAAGTCTATCTGAACGTGAGATATGACTAGATGTGTTTACGTATGATAGATGTGTCTATGGGTAATATGTGACACAACAAGATTGTTATAATTTTATAATTTATATATACATACATACACACACACACGCACGCACACACACACATACATACATACACACACATACATACATACGCACGCACACACACACACACACACATACATACACACATTAAGATAAGTATTGTCAGTTTGTGTGTGAGATAATGTAAGTCTGCACTAATGATAGGACAAACAAGTGTATTGCTCCTTGTCGTAATAAGATTATGTTTTATTACCCGATTTAAGAACTGTTTTGACATTTGAGAAAGGTTCATTAATAAATACAACTTACGACAGACACAAATACAGGTTAGCGTGAAATGCAACTACAGAGGGACGTGTATACAACAACAATGCGCATTTGGAAGACATAATGAAATTTTATCATCAACTTATGTTTCGGTATAGACACTTACCCTGTTGCCGAGCCAGTTGGTCCCTATATAGTACATTAAAGAAGCTATTTATTACCCATACTCCGTCTACTTTGTCAGCTTTATTTTGGTCTGTGTTAGTTTTTAACCAAAACGCCGTTCCTTTTTCGTTTATTTTGTTCTTTTTCTACCTTTTTCGTCGTCCATTCTTTCAGAAACATGCATTAACCGTAAACAAAATAACATACAAACTGTCAGTATGCATATTTCGTAAAAGTGTGATAAATATTACGAACCTAATTCAGTTTCGTGGATGTTTATTTTATCTATATTTATTCATTGTTCAGTTTCGTAACATATCTTAAAGCATGTCGATCAAAATACTAAGCACCTATAATCGTCTCTCGTTTCATCATCTTTCTCGTGTTTATTTAGCATCTTAATTCAATCCCGGATCAGTCGATTACCTCCTCAATAGCATTGTATAACCACGTGTTAATTACCTGGAAGAAGGCTTTGAAGACAGGCTAAACAACCGCGTGGTATTTGTTTGTACAGGGATAGGTGGTATCAATCGCAATTTTCTCATTACAAAGTCAAGTTCTGTCTTTGGTATTACATACACCATTAAGCCATTTCCGCTCTTGTATGAACGTGTATTTTCTGTTAAAAACAATCACATCGGCTGAGAAACAACGTTTGTAATGACTTTGGGGGAGGGCAAATATTTTGGAATTATTGGATATATTTATAATTTTATCAGTAGTAAGGAAAGAAAGTAATAACTATCCCGTGTTATGCTTAAACAATATCTATATCAAGAAAATGAATCCGTCACAGGTCATATGCCTCTGTTAATACATTTCTGGTAAAACGGCTTTAAACACCTTTCTGGTAAAAATTATTTATAGTGGCAGAGTCACGTACGTCGATTTAACAAATTAATGCATATATATTTTCTCATTTAACGTATTGTATAAAACGAGTAACGGTGTATTGTAAATGACGTAAATAATACGAATTGTCGAAAATATGATCCATGACATGGAAGAAATTTTTATATTTTACTATTTATTTTATTTTTCTAAACCTGATCACGTACATGTTATAATGATACATATAAATACTGACAAAAGATTTTATTTTTCGTAAGGAAACACTGCTCCTCAGCTAAGGGTTAACAGCTCGTTCAAGTAAATCTTTAATACTTTCGGACAAAATCACCGTTCTAGAAAAGGGAATGTCATGTATATATGTGGCTAAAAATCACGTCAGTTTGAAAATGAATTTCTTGTCGAAACTCCTAATAAAAAGACTAAACATAATTAGTGTCACGAAATACATTTTGTGTAGGAATTTGACTAATTATCAATGTTAACCTGTGGAATGCCTTCTAAATTGGCAGAATTACACAACAGTGCGATAATCCAGGTGCATGTCAAACGGGAGAACCATCTGAATGAGGCGCTGCGGCGAGCGTATTACTCTGTAAGTCTGGTGTCACCTGGGGCCATTGAACCGTGACGACACTGTGCGTAAATTGCTGTGAGTGACATAAGCCGACGTTCACATTTCGTGCAGGGGTGGTCAGGTTAAACAGTGTGAGTATTTGTTCAAGACGAACTATTAACGTAATATATATTCTTTTGTAATACATTACAAGTGTTTTTATTGTAATATAGAATACGATAACCAACACAGTGTCCGACCATGTAAATGGGTCTGGTCTTATCACAACCTTCCTCCCCTCTATATGGACCGTTCCACCTTAACCCATCGGACAACATAAAACTCCTCGTGCTCAACTCAGTCAAACATGGATACGTATAACGGACATACCTCACTGAAATTGGAGATGTTCTCCTGATATATTGTGCACAACTCTTCACTTAACATATGTGCCAAGACACCGGTTTGTTTACATCAGCGTAGATCGTGTATGGGAAAAAAATCTTCACTTGGGTCACGTGACAAAAGCGAGGGCTATTCGAACAAGGCGATGTGTGACAGCATGGAGGACAGTCCCGAAGCCTGTGCGAGGCGGAGGCTGGAATTCCGTTCAATGCCTTTCAAAAGTAAGTCATTTTATGTTGATGTGAAATCAAAACCTGTGCGACAGCGTGTAGAGGGATATATTCGTCAGCTGGGAGGCTCAGTGGAAACTTTTCTGTCGAACGACGTTCATGTTTGTGTATCGGATTCCCGACCTCTGACAAAGAGACCGAGTCGATTGCGGGGAGAAACCACTGTCGATCGTGGCGATGTGTCGAAACGTAAACAAGACATTCCCTTGAGTCGAGGAAGAGCTTTGCTGTTGAAAGCCAGGAAAAATACAAGTGAAAGTTTGGCGTCCGAGGTAAACAATGCAAGTAATATTCAAGACAAGGCGGCTGAGATGGGAATCAACACTGAGCATGTTCACACTTTCATCAAACGGTGCAAGGAGCTCGGTGCGTCTAGTAAACAGGTAACCAAGAAGGACCCTCCGACTGAATTTCTTCCTATAAAATGGGAAGATAAGTGTTTTATTAAAGTAGAGGATGATTCGTGTCAGTATAAACCGATTCATAAGAAACTAGAAAATATACCCTTGGTGTATCCGGATAACGGGGGCGGGTCTCCATTTGACGGTCCCGTGGTGCTCGCCCGCCCCACGACAGGTAGTACAGTGAAAAAGGGGACCAAACCGAGTCGGTTTTCTCACAACAAGGGGGGATATTGCGAGATGTGTCAGTGCTGGTACAAGGATTCCCTTCGGACACACAGCAGGAGTGTTGGCCATCAGAAGTTTGTCAGGAATAAAGAAAATTTTGCAGTGTTGGACCAAATTGTGCGAAAATTACCCAATTTGTACCAGTTTTTATTCAAGTACATTCCTGTTCGTAATGCTGATAAACCTCCATGTTACAAGTCTGACGTCACCCCAGCAACGTCTCCTGAGATTCAGACGACACAGCCTACCAATAAAGATGTTTACGACTTTGACGACCCCAGTGAAAATGTCGCCAATGTAGAGGATGTCAATAATGTTGTTCCAGGATTATCGATGTTGCCAGCGTCAATTACAGCTACAAACCTCACCAGCAACACTATACCACTTCCCCTTATCGATACCATTCTGACTGGTGAGATCGCTACTCCAGAGGTACGAGACAATGTAGATGACTCCGTCACGCCTGCCTTGACGCTAAATGACAGTGATATGTTCTCTTGTATACTCGGTGACAATGTCGCCGACGCCAAGATGTTTTCTGACATATCTGAGACAGATTCCCAAACGAACGTTTTGAAAAATCTCATTGACAATTTATCCTTGCAAAACGTAAACGGCGCATCTCAATCTCAGATCACCCACGAATCGCCAATGATTGTCAACACGCCCAAAGTGCCGTCGTCACAGCCGGTACCATCGTGTACAAGTCCAACTCATCCTAGTGACGCAATCGAACTGCAGCCAATCCCATCTCTTACATCATGCACGAACTCAGCACGTGAGTTAGATGACACAATTGTGGCCCCGCACAGTCAGTCAATGACGTCATGCACGGGTACCGAAAGTTCTCCAGATAACTCGAGTGAAAATTCTGCATCACAAACCATGACGTCATGCACAAGTACATCACGTGCATCGGATTCCACTATTGAAACTACGCCTGATCTGCAACTAAATGGCGAGACACCCATGTCTGTAGGCTCTCCTGTCCAGTTGCCAAGGGTAACGGCTTCCATCCCCACCCCAGGGCAACTGAAGCTGAAGCTGCTGCTTAATGCGGCTGCTAATTCATCTAGTCAACAAAACACGAATCCATCAAACCCAAGATGTGAGAAAGACAAAAATAAGGTCACCTACTACAGCCATAAAACCAGTGACACTAAGTTAAAGCTGTGCAAGGTAATGGTCACGCCTGTTGCTCAAAAATCCAATTTAAAGATGTTCTGGAAAGTTCGCAAAACAGGCGACTGTCGTTTGTTGTTTAGCTCTGAAAAGAGAAAGCGTTCCGTGCCGGACGAAAACGCCGCGGGGGTCGGAGATGAGATGATGAGCCCCCTCCGGGCCCATGATGTCACTCCTAGGCCGAAACGCCAGAGACTCGTCTTCTGAAATCCTATCTCAGTGATGGTGGTTCTATGGTGCCACGTAGATACAAGCTATAATGTGATAGACACAGTATTATGTGGTTGTGTTAGTGATAACTTGCTTACAACACCCAACAGAACTTACTTTTACGTTCGTTTAGTGATCGCAGATGTCATAATGAAGATTTTATTTCTATTTATTGCTGTGTTTTACAGACAGGATATCCAAAGCTCCATTGTGTTAACCGCTGTCCAGTACAGACGCCACTCTGTCCAAATATGCTGATGTTTTAATCATCTAGTCATGTTGAAGTATTTTCTACTTTTTCTCGTGACCATTGACATAATTTATTTTACACGCGGTATTGCAGTGTTCTGTGGTATGGTGATTGTGACATACTTCCTGTTTTTTACAACAACCTATACTGAGATTATTAAACAAGAGGAAATCAACAATGAGTTCTTATTTATGATATATTGATAATATTATGGATGTTCTATCGCAGTCAGTTACGCAACAGGAACATCTCATATGCGATTGAAAAGGATATTCCAGTAAATCTATTCAAAAAGAAAACTACAATATTCAAATGAACTCTATTTAACTTCATTTGTTGTGGGGCGGTGGGGAAGCCTAGTGGTTAAAGCGTTCGCTCGTCACGCCAAAGACCCGGGTTCGAATCCCCACATGGGTACCATGTGTTAAGCCCATTTCTGGTGTCCCCCGCCTTGATTTTGTTGAATATTGCTAAAAGCGGCGTAAAACCAAACTCAGTCAGTCAGTAACTTCATTTGTTTGTTAATTAATTAGACGGCATAACTCGCCTTCAGAGTTAATTCCCTTACCCGGTCCAGGACCGGCTGTTCATGGTATTGAATTCCTATAATTAGCCGTCATATGATAGGCCTGTAGGTGCGTCTTTCACCATTTGGCAAATGCTGTTGGTGGGTTTTAATCTCTAAATGTACACATGACCCTTGGTCTGTTGGCACCATGCCCATACGCATGTGGCAAGATATGCGTCATATATCTTAAATATTGCGAAGTGAGGCGTAAATAAACAAACCAACAACAATACTTATGTGGTTAAAGACGGTAGGGCCTAAGGGTTAAATCGTTCGCTCGTCACACCGAAAACCAGGGTACGATTACCAACATGCTCAGTGTCCCAAAATACAAGTCGCAATCTTTTGGCGGCAGATCTTTCAGCGTTCACTCAGCTTGCCTCTGGAACTCACTACCCCTCCATGTCAAGTCATCTCCTTCCATCTCCATCTTTAAATCAAGACTCAAAACATTCTTGTTCAACCACAACTAAATCTTATAAAACTTCTTCCTGTATATATTGTACATATTTACTGTTGCGCAAAGAGCATGCCCTTGAGGTGTGGAGTTACTACTATACTGCGCTCTACAAATGTCCATATATTATTATATATATATATATATATATATATATATATTATGGGTACAATGTGTGAAGCCAACTTCTAATGTCTCCCCATCCCCCCGCCTTGATATTGCTGTAATATTGCTAAAAGTGTCGTAAAACCATACTCATTCATTACTGTAGTAAAGGTTAACTCCGATATCACAGAGATGCTGTTAAAGGCACCAATCAAAACCTCACTGGGAGAGAAAAATGAACATAGTACTATCCGTTAGTTAGTTTCAGAGAAAGAGGACGTGCGTGGGTGTAAGGGTATCCTGTTGTATATTTCAGTATTTGTCAGTAGCATAACAGTATCAAAGATTAAACGTTGATCAACCATTCCTAATCTCAAAGTCCGTCTTGGGGAAACTTTTACTTAATTGTAATTGACGTAGTGAACCCTCACCTTAAACGTGACTGGGTAGAAGATCAAATAAAACATACAGATTCCTCCGCATGCGGCCATGAAGTGTATTTGCTGAACTAACGTTATTAGTATGGGAAAATATGAAACCTGTTCCAGAACAGTAATAATATTTTGATGGGCGCAAGATATATATAACAAAAGTTTTACAAACTACACAACATTTTATAGGGATAATTATAGATGTTTTATTATGTTAATATACTGGACAAAATAAGTTAGGGATATTGGTATTTTTATGATTGATATTTTATAAGTATGTCTGAATAAATAGATCATTATTCATAATTTAAAAATTTACATATATCCCTAACTATTTTTGTTCAGTATATATACTCGGCATGCTATGGAAATCCGTCATGGAAAGATACACATACCCCAGCTGAGATGGACTTGTGCTTTTCATGTAGATATACTGGCACTGTGAGATGCATTCCTTGAAGTTATGAATCAAGTTAGGATTGGTCTCCAAATAGCGAATATATTTCACCAACATTGACGGGAATCGAAGCCACTACCACAGGCTTCCTGCGTACCCAAGGGACGCAACTGTAGACAGGTTGTCCCCTTTGTGTAAGCGAATACATACAAATACACAAGCCGCAGCTATCGAACATACACATACTGCAAGATAGTAACTATCAACATCACGGCATACTAAGGCATGGCGGTGGGCGGTGGGGTAGCCTAGTGGTTAAAGCGTTCGCTCGTCACACCGAGGACCCGGGTTCGATTCCCCACATAGGCATATTGTTTAAAGCCCATGTTTGGTGTCCGCCGCCGTGATATTCTTGGAATATTGCTAAAAGCGGCATAAAACTCCAGTGTAAGTAAACTTATGTCCAGTATTATTCGTTACACTGCTATACTGCATGAGTCGAACAAAACCGAGTAGAAGGTCGCGTCAGCTAACCTTTTGGACTGACCAATCAGAACACAGCTTACCAAATCGCGAAAGTTAACATTCGCACATACCGTTTGAACCTTAACCTAAAAAACTCGAACGATTCCGAATGCTATTTTCCGCACGATCGCTTCCGACTGATACACGCAATGAGTAAACAGTCGCTGAAAATAGCTTTTTTTGTCAATATTCAAGGATGTCATCTTTCGAAAACAAAGCAAACAGTAACCATGTCATTAGAAACCCATAAGCGTATATACTGCAGGTCAAATATCATTGTTTTATGCGGATTTTCGTTTGTTGATAGATCAGTGTCAGCGACCAGGGAAGAGAAAATCCAAAAACCGTTTGTAAGTCCCGCCGAACCCTAACAAGTAGTCGTTGTCTGATTGGTTAAATCGTTCGGCCGTCTCGCGTTTGATTGGACGGTCATAGGTCACTCAAAGGTTAGCTGACGCGACTTTCAACTAGGTTTTGTTAGACCAGGGAGACTACCGGTATATAAGGTTGTAGAGTATCCCTGGTTAGACTCAGTATAGCAGTGTAACGAATAATACTGAGCCTAAGTTTACTTAGACTGCATAAAACTCACTCACTAGTAGTTGGTGACCTTGGAGGACTAAGACAAAGGTGCCCTCCTCCCACGTGACCTGAATGCTACTTTAGGAGGTAATGTGAAAGAGAATCCTCACTCACTCAATCACTCACTCATGGCGAACGTAGGACAAAACACATGACGTTCAGACACAGGACATGTTAAATGAAAGGGACAAAACCATTGCAATAATCGGAAGATGTCTCTGCCTGAATACAGAATATATTAAAGACACGTACTTACATGCATGCGCGATCAAACACGATGTGGAACACATGCACAAGACAGAGACTGACTGACTGAGTTTGTTTTTTACGCCGCTTTTAGCAATATTCCAGCAACATCACGGCGGGGGACCCCAGAAACAAGACAAAGAACATATGAGTGGGATATAGAACATACACATGGCACATTGAACAAAATGCATTGACACAATGAACTTACGCACGTGGCATAGATCATGAAACAGACATGTAATCTATAAAATATAGAAATTAATAAATCATTTACACAAAACATAACACTAAGCACGTTTCTGGTGCCTGCCCCCCTTCCGTAGTGATGTTGCTGTAATATTGGTAAAAGCGGCTAAAACTAAAACACTCACACACTCACTCATCTGGTTACTTACTTACGGGACCGCCTCCGTGGTGTAGTGGTTAGAGCGTCCGCCCGGAGAGCGGAAGGTCGCGGGTTCGATCCCCGACCTCGTCATACCAAAAGACGTTAAAATATGGTATATGTTGGTCCCTGCCTGGCGCTCGGCATTAATGGGTACAACAAGGACTGGTCGGCTCGGAGTCAGTATAATGTGTCTGAGTGGGGTATTCATGCTTCACTGCGGCATGGTATCTCAGTGGGCTAGCACTATAAAACCAGCTTAAGTCTGGGCTAGTACAAGCAGCCGCACATACACATACACACGGATGCACGTCGTCATATGAGCGAAATATTCTCAAGCACGACGTAAAACCCAATTTCACCTGACCTCACCTCACCTCACTTACTTACGGTACGCCCCTTCCCCATATTTGCTGTAATTCCCCCGTCCGCAACAGGTGTACGCTTCCTAATTACCAACCGACTCACAGTACATGTAAAATTCATCACGTATAACATATTCGGATAGATATTCACTCGACGTCATCACAAGTAAGTTATATAGTATATGCAAATCGGAACATCTGATTTCTAAACGGGCACTGTTATCTGAATCTCATATACATACCTCACTACTTAGACCAACCCTTAGACTTTGACTATATGTAATTCTTATAGCAACAAATAATCCCATTTGAATTAAAAGGAGCTCCAGTGAGATGGGAAATTCAGAACCTGAGGAAATCTATAAAATGAGTTGGTTCAGCCACTGTTCAGGGTCTGTGAGACAGACTATACTCATTACTTATTCAGACCACAAGCTGGAGGTGATAAAAATTCTGACTGTGTCACTGTGACGCCAGACACTGATTATTCATCACTCATCACTAATGTGTCCAATATACAGTAGTTGTACAAATGAGTATATATTCCGAATATATGGAATACCCTTTAACAATTCGGTTGTTGGATCGCTCGGCACAGGTGAGTCGATTTTAAGGCCACTTTGATCTCAGTTGCATTTATGTAGACGTCTCATCCTTTTTAGAAAAAGCCTGAGTTTTAGATATTTATCAACTTGACAACACCCAAACACGTGGTGCTGACAGATCTGGAAACATTATCAGCTCCATCCGGGACTCGAACACACAATAAATATATTTCTGGCGTAAACATGGGAGAAAACTCTGTACTAGGAAATGCGAGAACGGAATTCCTGGATCCGCCTATGGCATTTGTGACGTTTCCCTCAGCTCTTGAGTCAGCACGAGGCGTAGTGTCAACAAAGAATGATAGTCTTTATTGCACAACTTGTGTGGGGCATTGCACACAGCTGAGATGGCGGGTCAGTTCGTCCCTTATAGTCCATGGCTTGCCTTTCTTCCAGTGTTTGCCCTTAACCCTGAAAAGCCCTAAGGGCCGAGAACCATAAAAGTTGTGGGTCCTGGGCTCACTTGCACAAAGCGATCTTAGCGCTACAATGATTGTAACTCCCATTCTCCAACATAGGCTTAAGATAGTCATAGCGCTAAGATCGCTATGTGCAAGTGGGCCCTGATCAGAGTGTAGGCCCTATATTTTAGCTGCAATTCCCAGCAAACCAACTAACAAACTGAGTTAAAGAGTTTAATTTAACTCTATGACTGAGTTTAGTTTTTACGCCACTTTTAGCAACATTCCAGCAATATCACGGCGGGGGACACCAGAAATGGGCTTCACAAATTGTGCCCATGTGGGGAATCGAACCCGGGTCTTCGGCGTGACGAGCCAACGCTTTAACCACTAAACTACTCCACCGCCCCTTAACTCTAGTGACTGACTAGTCTTCATTACAACACGATCAACATCCATGTCATGATCCAAGTCGTCTGAAGAGTCTGAATCAGAATGTTCAGACAGGGATATGTTAGAGTCATCCAAGGCAGTTTGTGCACCACTGGCGCCGACACCCACTGTTGCAGCATCAGACTCCTCGGTAGCTTCACAGCATGGGCAACACTGGACGGGGATGAAAAAGCTGTCGGCCATAAGGACCTGCAGAAAACAAAAGCTGTGGGTCCGAGTGGATTTCAGTCGGCTTCGGGCGTAAGGACCAACGTTAATTTCGAACGATGCTTTCTTCTTGTTTGTCCCCGTTCCTCTCGGTGTCCGGTTGTGTCCTATTTGCCTGTCTTATCTGCTTTTATAGGCGGATGAACAGCTAACAATCTGACGAACATAACCTGCGCAGGTGGGTGGTTCTCCTGGGCACATCCTGCCTATCTGGCCATATTTTGACGGGCTTTACATATGTCCGACAAGTGTGCATAGCAATAGTGTTTCCTGCTAATATACTGAACATCATTGAAAACGCACCAGTCTAAAATTGTCCATATTTTCATCAAGATGGATTTCAGCATGACAATGATCAATGAATATAACTAACATGAAGTCGAAGGGCATGGCCAGTTGAAGAAATGCTTTAGAAACAAATTCCTGTCCACAGTATGACTCTGAATTCCTAAATGCATCAACATGCAGCCACGCCATGAAAAAAGAGCGAATTTCATTCTGAAATCATACTGACTGTGACATTAAAAGCAGGTGTATGAGAACCGATTCTCATTGCTTCACTAACGATTGTGAAACGAGGACAGAGATGCCGAGGTTAACACTTGGCGAAAGAGAACGTGCACTAGGCATGATTCAGGTTGGCACCAGCAGCAGGGATATTGCTCGACAACTTGGACTTAGCCACTCCACCATCGTTTGGCTTCATAGACGACATCAGTAGACAGGCAGCACCCGTGACCTTCTATGACCTTGTCAACAACGTGTTACGACGCTCCATCAGGATCGCCATATTGACCTTGTTCATATCAGTGATTGAACACTGCCGACTGCCAGGGCTGCTGCACTAGTTCAAGGTTGATGTGGGGGTCATCAGCGCTGACTCCATGCGACGCCGTCTGCACGCTACAGGGCTCCATGCTCGACGTCCTTACGTTGGATCAATTCTGACTGACAGACACCGTAATGAGCGTATGCAATGGGCTAGCAGGCATTTTCAGTAAAGGTTACAACAATTGCATGGTGTGGTAGTCACTGACGAGTCACTTCTTCATCTACGTAATGCTGACGGCCGATTACGTGTTTGGCTAAGACGTGGTGAACGTTATGCTGATGAGTGTGTGGTTCAGACAGACCTTTGGGTGGTCGAAGTGTCATGGTCTGGGGTGGAATAAATTGCAATCACAGGACTGCCTTCATGTCTGTCAAGGGAGAGTGAATGCCCTTTATTACCGTGAGCAGATTCTTCAGAATCACATCGTATCTGTCTTCAATCACCACCAAGATGTCCATACTTTTCAACAGGACAACGCACAGGCACACACAACAAGACTTTCCATGCAGTATCTGGCCCAGCAACACATCCAGGTTATTCATTGGCCAGCACAGTCGCCAGATGTATCCCCCATGGAGCACTTGTGGGACGAAATTGGTCAAAGACTTTCGAGGCGACAACAGATGTGAAACATCCAGAAACTTGAGGCTGCACTACTGCAGAAGTGGAATGCCATCCTCAAGAACTCTATTCGGACGCTTATTGCCTCAATGAGGAGACGTTGAACTGCATGTGTCAATGCAAATGGCGGTCACACGCGATCTTGACTTTTCGATTTGACCCCACGTGTGTTTGATCCTTTCTGACTGTGGAACATTTCAATGAATGAGCGTCTTTTCTGTGTTGTTGTTTTTGACAGTCGTCCATCTGTTATTATCCACTCAAAAAATATCAATTCCTTACACGTGCTTTTAATAATCTGAACGTTTATAAGTGGTGCGTTTTCAATGATGTTCAGTATATTTCCCACGGACCATAATGAAACGTAGGCTGATATGAATTTAACTGAGATTGGGTTAACGTGATTATACTTCCATAGATTGCAGCAACAGCCACACAACCATGGCAACCAATGGAAATCCCACAGGTATCCGTTTGAAGAAACAGCTTGGTCTCGTCAGCACGACAAGTTACATCGTCGGCAGTATCATTGGTAAGATCTGGTACTTTCAGACCCTTGAAGATCCGGGTTAGAATTGGTCGTCTGTAAGATCTGGAACTTTCAGACCCGTGAAGATCCGGGTTAGAATTGGTCTTAATCTGCAGACCCGTGCTTGGTCTTGAAGATCTGGCAACGAGACGGATCCGGGTGGGTCAGGATCTCGCTGACTTGTTTGACACATGTCATCTGGTATCCCATCTCCGTAGATCAAATGGTCTCATTCGTACGAAGATTGTCTGGCTCGCTGACTCTATTGACACATGTTCGTATATACCGTAGATCAATGTCATCAGCCATATATATATAGGACGCCATATAGCCAGAGTGAATGAGTGAATTTGATGCCACGATCACAGGGTTCTGTCAGGGCAAAGGGACGCCGAAAATGGTGATGCCTTGGACGAGTGAACCGCCCATGCCCTCGAAGACATCTAGTCGGTTATCTAAGGCCTTGCCTTTACTGTGACTGATCTCTGCATGGTTTGTTGAACAATTTATGTTATTCTTTACTTCAAACATAATGATGCTGAAGGCAGGATTGCAAGTTTTTGCGATCAGTCTTATATCACTAAGATGTTATTTTCATTTAGATCTTGGAAATCAAAAGGACAAAACTCCATTGATTAAGCTAGGTCTATAATGTATATTATGCCATTTAGGACTGTCATTGGGATACACATCTGAAATGATAGTCATTCTTACAGACCCCGGAGCATTTATGATCGTACAACCCTTCCATTCCATCCCAGCTGAGCCCCATTATCAGCCTACAGAACTGAACTGGTATCTCTGTCAACCAATAGAATGCCATTCTCTACTCGTTCATCCAATAGAAGTATATTTTCAGCTCTACCATATTCAGATAACAGAATCCCACTATCATCTCTACCAGACTAGAATCCCTTTCTCAGCTCTACGAGATTATAGAATCCAATTGTCATTTCTATCAGCCTAAATCCCGGTCGCATCTCTATTGGCCAGTAGAATCCCATTTTTCATCTCTCTCAGCGCTTAGTGCATCCCATTTGGTTATGGGCGGTGGGATGGTTAAAGCGCTCGCGCGTCAAGCTGAAGACCCGGGTTCGATTCCCCACATGGGTACACTGTTTGAAGCCCATTTCTAGTGACCCCCGTCCTGATGTTGCTGGAACATCGCTAAATTTCACTCACTGATATGGTTATGTTTAACGTAATGAGATTTGAGTGTTTCCTTACAGGCTTCTGTACTTTCGGAATATATGTTCTCTGGCAAAAATAAACGAAAGTGATATTATGGTGCAACAGGGGCGTATGAACGAACTTGACAAGACGAAACCTTATCTACCACCATAACTACAATTTCATTTTGATAATCAATACTTTTCATAAATTAGACCACCACCACCCCCGCGCGCTCGCGCTCTGAAAACCGTTCATACGCCGTTTTGCAAGCACGACCTTATCTCTGTTTAGGTGTGGGTATTTTCATCAGCCCGACAGCCGTATTGGAAGGGGTGGGATCCTCGGTGGGCTTGTCTCTCCTTGTGTGGACGCTGTGTGGAGCTTTGACCTACTGCGGCGCCATGTGCTATGCTGAGTATGGTGCGTGGTATATTGTATTGTGATGTCTTTCTATTCATTATAAAATCTAGTATAATTCAATGCATAAACATACTGTGGTTTACGATCGTGTATATATGTTATTTAAATACTGTTCATTGCTGTATTTATTTGATTAAAAGACAATGTCGACAAATTGCAGGTACCCGTGTAAAGAAATCCGGCGGAACCTACACCTACATCCGAGAGGCGTTCGGAGACCTAGCCGGGTTCGTGTTCCTGTGGACTCAGCTGGTCATAGTCCGGCCGCTGTCCACCGGTCTGGCGTGTCTGGCCGCTGCAGAGTACATCATGAGGCCCGTCTACCTGGCCTGCCCCAACATGGCCCCCACAACAGCGAAAGCCATGCTGGCATTTGTCATATTAGGTAAATCGGTCACAGCGACGGATAAGTCAGTGAGAATGAGTGAGTCTGTTTTTACGCCGCTTTTAGCAACATTACAGCAATATCACGGCGGGGACACCAGAAATGGGCTTCACACATTGTACCTATGTGGGGAATCGCACCCGGGACTTCGGCGTGACGAGCGAACGCATTAACCACTAGGCTACCCCACCGCCCACACAGCGTCGGATAAAATATGTAGCCATTTTCTTTGAATTGTTAAATTCTCAACTATGGTCAAGAAAGGTGTCTACAGTGAGAGTACAAAGCTTTGTTAGCTAATGTTCTTAATAAACCATGGGCTACCTTGACAAGAGAAGTACCGGGTCAGTATGGTTCTGTGTGGTGTGTGGTGTGTGGTGTGGGTGTTTGTATGGCAGTCTACGAAAGTTAATGAGTGAGTTTAGTTTTACGCCGCACTCAGTATTATTACAGCTATATGGCAGCAGTCTGTAAATAATCGAGTCTGGACCAGACAATCCAGTGATCAACAGCGTGAGCATCTATCTACGCAATCTACGAAAGTAATACATGTAATACATGAATTCAAATAAAGGTTAATTTAGCTCTACGTACTCAACTGTAGCGAAAGCATGTGGTCTGGCTCAGTCTGAACTGAACTGCATTATACTCAAGTCGGTGGCAGCGACATTAAAGGTACCATACAAGTACTGATTATACAACATGTTATGCACATTGAAACAATATTTCTAGTTTATTGCCATCTTTTTCGAGCAGTTACAGAACGCACCTAAAAAGTTATGTCAAACTAGACTATCTATGAATTTCAATTTCCCTTTCTATGGAAAACTACTAAACAGTACCTAATGTCACAAAATATAGCTAACTCGGCTCAGGGTAGGTCTCATGATCTAATTACCGAGAAGTGCAAGTGGACAGATTTGGCTCTGGAACTTCATATTTGCCTTTTTTATAAAACTTAAAATGGGAACACCGTCATGTGGTAGTGTGAGAAAATTATGCTGTTTTCAAAAGCAAACTATTTCGAAATTTGTATGTAAATATTTTTGTAAGCTAACTTGTTTCAGGATATAAGTGTCCTGACATTCTTTATAATTAGCTAAATACATATTTCAAATGCTTAAAGGAATTACCTTCGAAATATAGGAATGTTTTCTTTTAATTCACGGTGTCCAAAGTCGTGTCCTTGAGTGGGTTGGGGACGGGAGAACTAAAAAGCTGACATGCTCTGAATATACGCTGAATGTACTTTTGTTATCATTAATATAATTGTATGACATCGTACAACGGCGGGTTGTGCGACCTGCGTTAACTGGTGAATATGCAATTTCTCTAGCACACATACTGCTGCTATTTCAGGGTTTTTCGTTGCGGCAAATATGTACAGTGTGCGACTGGGCTCCTGGCTTCAGACTGTGTCTACTGTGTATAAAGTGGGTGCGCTGGTGACCATCGTTTTTGCTGGGATTCTACATTTGTGTCAAGGTCAGCAGCCTTGATCCCTGTATCTCTAAAAATCAGGCATATTGATTCAGACACAAGTTTGCAATCATACATAACGGATCATTCATCAGATTCAATGTCGTATCTCCATTACCTTATTTAAAAAAAAATGCATTACCTTATATGAGTGAGTGAGTTTAGTTTTACGTGGCACTCAGCAATATTCCAGCTATATGGCGGCGGTCTCTAAATAATCAAGAGTTTGGACCAGACAATCCAGTGATCAACGCAATTGAGATAGGATTACATGTGTCAACAAAGTGTTACGGTTATTAATCTGCCGTGACAAAAGGTTTAAGAGTCCCCTTTGAACCAGCAAAATAGAACAAAGACAAGTCTAAAATATTCAATAATATATTGAACAAACAATGTGCCAGCTACAATGAATGACAATACAGATATCTAGTACAATGCAATTGAGGCACAATTCGAAAATATTGGGTCACAAATATTAAATATTAACTCACCAGAGTATTGACATTTACAGTGAAAACAGATATACTGACTGCTGGTTGTCTACAATGACAGCAGTTGAATAGACAAGCACGATCAGTCTTGAAATGTTGAACAGCTTGACGATGGCAGACAGATGTGTATAAATCCAGTCATGTGATAATCCCGTGTCGCACTACTCAACAACAAGCCTTTATTTAGCTCTTACACAATTCTCGAGCATTCTAGCAAAGCTAGGCTCCATATATTCTCCCAGAACGCCACGGAACCACGTGGAAAACACACGACATGACAAGACTCGGAAGTTAAAACCACTCTCCTTCCCAAAGTTCCATGCGGCCAGCCAGCATGGTACCTCTGCCACAGACCAGAAAGATGTGACGATTCGTCACATCTTACATAGGCTAGTCTATTCAATATAATGTACATATTTCTTAACTCGTTTATTTTGTATGGGTCTACACATCTAATTAAACATCATTGTTAGAATGGTTTAGTTTCACTGAGAAAATATCCTAAGGCGTGTAACTATTTCAGTATGCGTAGCGATCCTTTGTTTACATGGGTTGTACGGCTCCACGTGCTGTCATCGAAGCTTTATTATGGAGAGCAAACCATCCAGCCCCATTGATATATAAATATGTATTGTCATAAACCTTACTGTGGCCGTTGTAGATTATTTATGTAACAATGTAAAACATTATGAAGACCGCGCCGAATCGCTTACGTTGGGCCGGTATCTCCTTACTTACGTATATGCGCGTTTGTTTACAAACAGAGAAAAGGCCGGTCACGTGATATGCAAATTAGCCTGCGTGGCTGTGATGTTATGCTAAATCAGCACTGCGCCGGAGTGTGAGTTAAAACAAAATAAAGCCATCCAAGGGAGGCAACTCTGAAGTGCTATCAAAAAGGCGTGCCGCTACAAATACTTTTGCCATTGAACATATATGATGCGAGATGCGAGCCAAACCCCACACTCAAAACTTTAAACATTGTGACCCATAATAATTCTCAGTTAATCAATGTGATATTACAAATTACAAAAAAAAACACACACTCTCATAACACAAGTCAGCGAGCCTGACCACCCGATCCCGTTAGTAGCCTCTTACGACAAGCATGGGTAACTGACGACCAATTCTAACCCGGATCTTCAGGGGTTTACCATATATGTCTGATGTTTACTTTTTCAGGTCACACAGAGAACTTCAGAGACCCCTTCAGAACCACAGGTGTGACTGCTGGAGGTGTTGCCTTGTCGGTCTACGCCGGTCTCTACACCTACGGTGGCTGGTATGGCACTGGTCATATTAGTGAACATCTGTTGTCATCTATGAGTTTTGGACCCATTCATATAATTTTATAACTATTTGCCCTCTATTGCAAATGGTTTGGGGTTGGATTGGTTTGTTGTTTAACGTCGCACTGAGCAATATTCCAGCTTTATGGCGGCGGTCTGTAAATAATCGAATCTGGACCAGACAATTCAGTGATCAGCATGAGCATCGATCTACGCAATTGGGATACGATGACATGTGTCATTTAAATGTCAGCAGATTCCATCAACACACGTTCCTGCGGCAATGCATTCCCAGGCTATTCATATCATGCAAAGAAGCTGAATAGAGGTCAAACTATTGACATGTAACAATTACAAACATCAGATAATGACGTTGATTTTCTGAATTTTCTCATAAGTAAGTTCGTTTGTAAGCAAAACATGTTTTCCTCAGAGAATTTAAACGTGGTATACATATCAGTGCTTGTCTTTTTTTATGAATACATGAACTGTAACAACGACTCTATATAAAACATTACCTTAACTGTCCCACTTATTTATTGTCACCCCAGGGATAATGTCAATATCGCCGTTGAAGAAGTCATTCGACCCCACAGGTAAATGCATCAGTTAATGGAATCTGTTTTGTGTAAAAAATCAACATTACACTGACAATGTATACATAATGATTTCCAAAGTATGTTTTACGCCGCTTTTAGCAATATTCCAGCAATATCACGGCGGGGGACACCAGAAATGGGCTTCACACATTGTACCTATTCTCGGAATCGAACCCAGGTCTTCGGCGTGACGAGCGAACGCTTTAACCACTAGGCTACCTAATCGCCCCCTGGCGGACATGAAGCAAACCAGAAACGGTTGTTGGCTGGTGATACAGTGGATATAGTGGTATCCCAGTTGGTTTCAGTATCGCACCTGTTCAGTATTTCGAGGTATAGTAACGCACAGATAACGGCTGTTTAATCGAATTCAGTTTTAGTTGTTTGCTTGGCGGTGTACGACGTAGATATATATCCTTATATGTATGGTAAATGTATGATGTAATTCATTGTTTTCGTGATCTTACCTTTCACAGAACCATCCCCACCGCAATCCTCGGTGGCCTTGCCATACCAACCTTGACCTACATTCTTGGCAATGTCGCGTACCACGCTGTACTCACTAATGCCGAGATTCAGTCTGGCGTTGCAGTCGCTGTTGTGAGTAAATACCATAATTATATCACCAAAACGTAGGCCATAAAATTAATATATGAGTCTGTACATAATTGTATGTTCTTTACTTACTGACTGTTCTGCAATAGGATTTTGAAAATGCGTGTTGTCTCCTGGTGAAGATCCAGGTTAGAACTGGTCTTTAGTAACCCATGCTTGTCTCCCCGTGAAGATCCGGGTTAGAACTGGTCTTCAGTAACCCATGCTTGTCTCCCCGTGAAGATCCGGGTTAGAACTGGTCTTTAGTAACCCATGCTTGTCTCCCCGTGAAGATCCGGGTTAGAACTGGTCTTCAGTAACCCATGCCTCTCTCCCCGTGAAGATCCGGGTTAGAACTGGTCTTTAGTAACCCATGCTTGTCTCCCCGTGAAGATCCGGGTTAGAACTGGTCTTCAGTAACCCATGCTTGTCTCCCTGTGAAGATTCGGGTTAGAACTGGTCTTCAGTAACCCATGCTTGTCTCCCCGTGAAGATCCGGGTTAGAACTGGTCTTTAGTAACCCATGCTTGTCTCCCCGTGAAGATCCGGGTTAGAACTGGTCTTCAGTAACCCATGCTTGTCTCCCCGTGAAGATCCGGGTTAGAACTGGTCTTTAGTAACCCATGCTTGTCTCCCTCTGAAGGTCCGGGTTAGAACTGGTCTTCAGTAACCCATGCTTGTCTCCCCGTGAAGGTCCGGGTTAGAAATGGTCTTCAGTAACCCATGCTTGTCTCCCCGTGAAGGTCCGGGTTAGAACTGGTCTTCAGTAACCCATGCTTGTCTCCCTGTGAAGATCCGGGTTAGAACTGGTCTTCAGTAACCCATGCTTGTATCCCCGTGAAGATCCGGGTTACAATTGGTCTGCAGCAACCCATGCTTGTCTCCCGTGAAGATCCGGGTTAGGGTGGTCTGCAGCAACCCATGCTTGTCTCCCCGTGAAGATCCAGGTTAGAACTGGTCTTCAGCAACCCATGCTTGTATCCCCGTGAAGATCCGGGTTAGAACTGGTCTGCAGCAACCCATGCTTGTATCCCCGTGAAGATCCGGGTTAGAATTGGTCTTCAGTAACCCATGCTTGTCTCCCCGTGAAGATCCAGGTTAGAACTGGTCTGCAGCAACCCATGCTTGTCTCCCGTGAAGATCCGGGTTAGGAATTGGTCTGCAGCAACCCATGCTTGTCTCCCCGTGAAGATCCGGGTTAGAACTGGTCTGCAGCAACCCATGCTTGTCTGCCCGTGAAGATCCGGGTTAGAATTGGTCTGCAGCAACCCATGCTTGTCTCCCCGTGAAGATCCGGGTAAGAATTGGTCTGCAGCAACCCATGCTTGTCTCCCCGTGAAGATCCAGGTTAGAACTGGTCTTCAGTAACCCATGCTTGTATCCCCGTGAAGATCCGGGTTAGAACTGGTCTTCAGCAACCCATGCTTGTCTCCCCGTGAAGATCCGGGTTAGAATTGGTCTGCAGCAACCCATGCTTGTCTCCCCGTGAAGATCCGGGTTAGAACTGGTCTTTAGTAACCCATGCTTGTCTCCCCGTGAAGATCCGGGTTAGAACTGGTCTTCAGTAACCCATGCTTGTCTCCCCGTGAAGATCCGGGTTAGAACTGGTCTTTAGTAACCCATGCTTGTCTCCCCGTGAAGATCCGGGTTAGAACTGGTCTTCAGTAACCCATGCTTGTCTCCCCGTGAAGATTCGGGTTAGAACTGGTCTTTAGTAACCCATGCTTGTCTCCCCGTGAAGATCCGGGTTAGAACTGGTCTTCAGTAACCCATGCTTGTCTCCCTGTGAAGGTCCGGGTTAGAACTGGTCTTCAGTAACCCATGCTTGTCTCCCCGTGAAGGTCCGGGTTAGAACTGGTCTTCAGTAACCCATGCTTGTCTCCCTGTGAAGGTCCGGGTTAGAACTGGTCTTCAGTAACCCATGCTTGTCTCCCCGTGAAGATCCGGGTTAGAACTGGTCTTCAGTAACCCATGCTTGTCTCCCTGTGAAGATCCGGGTTAGAACTGGTCTTCAGTAACCCATGCTTGTATCCCCGTGAAGATCCGGGTTAGAATTGGTCTGCAGCAACCCATGCTTGTCTCCCCGTGAAGATCCGGGTTAGAATTGGTCTGCAGCAACCCATGCTTGTCTCCCCGTGAAGATCCAGGTTAGAACTGGTCTTCAGTAACCCATGCTTGTATCCCCGTGAAGATCCGGGTTAGAACTGGTCTGCAGCAACCCATGCTTGTATCCCCGTGAAGATCCGGGTTAGAATTGGTCTTCAGTAACCCATGCTTGTCTCCCCGTGAAGATCCAGGTTAGAACTGGTCTGCAGCAACCCATGCTTGTCTCCCCGTGAAGATCCGGGTTAGAATTGGTCTGCAGCAACCCATGCTTGTCTCCCCGTGAAGATCCGGGTTAGAACTGGTCTGCAGCAACCCATGCTTGTCTGTCCGTGAAGATCCGGGTTAGAATTGGTCTGCAGCAACCCATGCTTGTCTCCCCGTGAAGATCCGGGTAAGAACTGGTCTTCAGTAACCCATGCTTGTATCCCCGTGAAGATCCGGGTTAGAACTGGTCTTCAGCAACCCATGCTTGTCTCCCCGTGAAGATCCGGGTTAGAATTGGTCTGCAGCAACCCATGCTTGTCTCCCCGTGAAGATCCGGGTAAGAATTGGTCTGCAGCAACCCATGCTTGTCTCCCCGTGAAGATCCGGGTTAGAACTGGTCTTCAGTAACCCATGCTTGTATCCCCGTGAAGATCCGGGTTAGAATTGGTCTGCAGCAACCCATGCTTGTCTCCCCGTGAAGATCCGGGTTAGAACTGGTCTGCAGCAACCCATGCTTGTCTGCCCGTGAAGATCCGGGTTAGAATTGGTCTGCAGCAACCCATGCTTGTCTCCCCGTGAAGATCCGGGTAAGGATTGGTCTGCAGCAACCCATGCTTGTCTCCCCGTGAAGATCCGGGTTAGAACTGGTCTTCAGTAACCCATGCTTGTATCCCCGTGAAGATCCGGGTTAGAATTGGTCTGCAGCAACCCATGTTTGTCTCCCCGTGAAGAGCCGGGTTAGAATTGGTCTTCAGCAACCCATTAAATAAATAATGTAATATTGCTGAGCAGTGCGTTAAATCACAAACAAATTATATTCTTTGTAGGTGTTTGGGGAAAGAAAACTTGGATTCATAAAGTGGATCATATTGCCATGTGTTGCAATATCTGCAGCTGGAATAGCAAATGCCGTCATTTTCACGTCGTGCAGGTGAGACATTCTCCCGGATACGTGATGTGTTAAGTGATTCCTATATCTTAACGATAAGTTAAACCAGAAGATCTTACGCAACAGTAAAAGTGTGAAACCAGTTAAATGTTATAACGTAACAACTCTATCGTAAAAGGGGCGGTGGGGTAGCCTAATGGTTAAAGCGTTGGCTCGTCACGCCGAAGACCCGGGTTCGAATCCCCACATGGGTACAATGTGTGAAGCCCATTTCTGGTGTCCCCCGCCGTGATGTTGCTGGAATATTGCTAAAAGCGGCGTAAAACCAAACTCAGTCAGTCAGTCAGTCTATCGTAAAAGGAACCGAGGTTACAACTCAATGTAGACATCCTTTCAATGCAATGGAAGGGAATGGCAGTACACCTTGGCGTTGTAGTAGACACCTCTGTGGCATTACAGTTGCTGTGACAGTACAAGATATAAGTGTTATAACAGTGTTAAAAGCAATAAAGCTAGTTGTAATCAAATTCACCTGGCACTAACAGTCAAACTGCCGAAATATGCCTCAACTGGATAGTCATGAAGAAAGTGAGTGAGGTTTACGCCTTTGTTTCAGTATTCCAGCAATGTTATGGCGGGGTAAACCAGAAATGTGTGAAACCTCTCTCTCTTCTCAACCCCCCACCACTCTCTCTCTCTCTCTCTCTCTCTCACACACACACACACACACACACACTCTCTCTCTCTCTCTTCACACACAATGAACACAATGATAAACATACATATTATACCTTGTCTGACGTTTTAATATTTATCTTTATTAAGAGTACATTTTTAAAATGATTAAATCTATATGTTCAGAATAAACTTTGTGGGAGGTCGAGATGGACTGTTTCCACGGTTTCTGAGTATGATCAGTGTCCCAAGAGGAACTCCCCAACCGTCCATCATAGCACTGGTATGTTAAGGGTGCGACATGTATGCATGTCGTTAGATTTGATACAATCCTGATTGAATTCTAATGACTTTGTTGTCAGGGCTTGTGGTGTTAACTGTCGGGAAGTTTAAGTAAACACTTGAATACTGAATTTGACCCAAACGTTTGAAACGGTATTGAAATGTTACACGGTTGAAAAAAAACCCAGCCGAAACATGGCAACGAAGTAGGTCCAACATGCAACTGACTGTATCAAGTACATCATAGTCGAATAACCATTTCATCCTTGTTTTATGTTAGTCACCACCAAATACTTTCCTTTGACATCTGACCCCTCGTGAGGTTACCGTTGAATATCATTCTGACAACACATAAGTGAGACGTGATTTCATTCAGTGCAGTAGTTTCAGTTACTGTGTATGAGTGAGTGAGTTTAGTTGTACGCCGCACTCAGCAATATTCCAGCTATATGACGGCGGTCTGTAAATAATCGAGTCTGGACCAGACAATCCGGTGATCAACAGCATGAGCATCGACCTACACCAATGGGATACGATACTGTGTATAGCTATGATGCTGGAGTGGCTTTATACTGGTAACCCCCTGACTGAGGATAATATTTACATATGTATGGGGTCGTGACGCCAAGTTTTTCGGTAGTGTTTATCTGATCAATAACACTAGTCATAATGCGACAATAGACACGATAACGTCAGATATACATGTGCAAATCGGTTCCAGCCTTGGTTGATAACTCACAAGCTGTCAGTTGATTACTCACAAGCTATCAGTTGATTACTCACAAACTATCAGTTGATTACTCACAAGCTATCAGTCTCCACTTCTTTTGACTTATTCAACGTATAAATCTAGATTATCATTTCAGAAAAGAGAGATTATTAGACGCGTGTGTTTTAATATCGTATATTATATCATATGTCACGAATAACAACTGCATTATTCGACATTTGGCGAACGTAATACGCAATATGGACTCACAGGAGCGTAACAACATGCAACATGGTACCGGTAAGCATGGCCCCTTGGCTTACCCCTTGCGCTAACACCTGCAGTCATGCTTTCATATAATTTTCATGTCTTTTTCGCTGTTTAACCCCAATGGAATCTGTTTCGTCACATAATAGACAGATCATTCTCTGGTATTATATTATAAAGCCCACTGCCAACCCTGTTTAACTAAAACAGCATGGTGCCTGGTACACTATTACGAGGAAGTGGCTTCACGATTTTCTTTCAACCACTGCTGCTGTAAAATATTTGGGGGCGGTGGGGTACCATCTTCATGTACATGTATATGTACTGTCCCATGAATATCCGGTTAAGAATTGATCTTCAGCAACCCATGCTTGTCGTAAGGGACGACTAACGGGATGGGGTGATCAGACTAGCTGACTTCGTTGACAGGTATCAGCTTATCCCAGCTGTGTAGATCAATGCTCATGCTGTTGATCACTGGATTGTCTGGTCCAGACTCGGTTATTTACAAACCGCTGCCATAGAGCTAGAATATTGCCGAGTGTGTCGGTAAACCCATCCTCGATAATCTCCAGGGTATACCTTCCGATAAATCTCCACTAGTACCCTGGATACGTCTACGATAATTCTATTACCTCCCTTTGCTGGCTCCGCCTTCTCACAGTAGCCAAAGATAAGCTGTTATAACCGGGCTTGCCATTGTCAACAAAGATGGCGGCCGCAGCCGCGAAAGTTTCGGTGATGCTTCCTGAAAGGGAGACAACTTTTCTATGTTGAAGCGAGAACATACCCTCCCGAAGTCAGTTGTTTCCGCCGCCATTACTGTTTACCGAAGAACTTCCCAGCGCAGACACCTGATTGGATAAAAAGCCATCCAAGGGAGGGAATAAAATTATCGAGCCGTAGCTGCATCCAGGCGCATTCCAGGGTAATGGTGGAGATTTATCGGAACGTATACCCTGGAGATTATGGAGGATGCGTTAAAACATAAACAAACAAATATCTGTTGTTCTCAACAACTGTCAATAACAGTTCCTCATAACGACTATCTTCGTCTGTCTGGGAGATGTCAAGTCTGTGCTTGGGGCCTATGCGTTCTACAAGGCTGGAGGGGAATGTCTGGCAGTCTCTGGAATAGCCCTCATAAGGCGTGCACACCCAGATACCGACAAGACGTACAAGGTATGTTGACAGCGAGGCCGGTGGAGTAGCCTAGCCGTTAAACGTCCTCTCCTCATGCTGATGAGCGGGGTTAGATGCATGGGTACTGTGTGTGAGAAATTTATTTCTGGTGTTCTTTGTCGTGATTTTGTTTGGAAATTGCTAACACCATACTCATTCAGTCGAATCATAAAAATCCTGGTTAGAATTGATCTTCAGCAACCCATGCTTGTCTTAAGAGGCGACTAACGGGATTGGGTGGTCGGGCTCGCTGACTTGGTTGACACATGTCATCGTATCCTAATTGCTTAGATCGATGCTCATGTTGTTGATCACTGGATTGTCTGATCCAGATTCGATTATTTACAGACCGTTGCATTATAGGTGGAATATTGCTGAGTGCGGCGTTAAACAACAAACAAACACTCACATTGACACCTTAAAACCAGGAAACATTCATGAAATATCTGTTGAATATGAACACATTTTGTCAGGCGAACATCTGGTGACATGTATTTGTTAAATCCATCATTGCCACTTCTGTTTGATTATGAACGTAACAAATACAACAAAAATATAGAAACTGAATTCTCCATTGGTCTGGAGCGTTTGTTAAACGTGGTGTGCCTTTTCATCAAATGTTATTTGTGACGTGACACTACAATTCCATCAAAGTTGAGTCTGACATGATATAAGTTTCTGTATTAAAATAAAAACGATCTGTAAGATATTTTTCTTCAATAAAAAGACAACATTTTATACGGCGCGGTTGGCGATATGGCAGTCATTTAATCTATTCGAACCTGGACCAGGCAGACCGTTAACGGACAAAATAGGAAACGGGACCGCCCATCGGCACACAGCAACACACTAAGCTTAAAGTGCGAATCTTCCATCCAACTAGAGCTGCCTGGTAGGACCAGCCATAGAACACCGGATCCTAACCTTCGCACCAACCATCCTCGGCTACCCAGGGTGGTATATCTCCAGTCTGTTGTATTAAGTACCCTGGACACTGGCTTCTAGTTAAGCATGTCACCTCGTTAATGGCAGTACAATGTTCCTAAGAACTACAATTTATTTGCCCCCCACCTCCACCGACCCATCTTCCACATTGGGGTCATTGGTAGCTTCTGTAAACCTGAACATTTTCACACTCTCGCAGGTTCATTGGCTTTTCCCATGTATCTACGTACTGGCCTTCTTGGTGCTGTCTGTGACGGCCGTCGTGAACGACGCTGGCAAATATCTCCCCCCTTTCGTCCTAATGCTGCTCGGCGTCCCTCTCTACTACATGTCAAGAAGTCGCTGGTGGAAGCAGGGGCGACTCACCACAGTCAACAGTAAGTAGCCCTTCGTCTTAGTAGCCACTACGAGAGGAGACATCTCGGTTCATTCAGTAGTTACTAGCCCTATCTTCTTAGTAGCCTCTTCGTGAGGAGCCATCTCGGTTCATTCAGTAGTTACTAGCCCTATCTTCTTAGTAGCCCCTTCGTGAGGGGACATCTCGGTTCATTCAATAGTAAGTAGCCCTATCTCCAAGATCTCACCACAGTCAGTAGTAAGTAGCCATACGTCTTAGTAGCCTCTTCGTGAGGGACATCTCAGTTCATTCAATAGTAAGTAGCCTTACCTCCAGGATCTCACCACAGTCCGTAGTAAGCAGCCATACGTCTTAGTAGCCTCTTCGTGAGGGGACATATAGATTCATTCAGTAGTAAGTAGCCCCATCTCCAGGATCTCACCACAGTCAGTAGTAAGTAGCCATACGTCTTAGTAGCCTCTTCGTGAGGGGACATATAGATTCATTCAGTAGTAAGTAGCCCTATCTCCAGGATCTCACCACAGTCCGTAGTAAGTAGCCATACGTCTTAGTAGCCTCTTCGTGAGGGACATCTCAGTTCATTCAATAATAAGTAGCCCTATCTCCAGGATCTCACCACAGTCCGTAGTAAGTAGCCATACGTCTTAGTAGCCTCTTCGTGAGGGACATCTCAGTTCATTCAATAGTAAGTAGCCCTATCTCTAGGATCTCACCACAGTCAGTAGTAAGTAGCCATACGTCTTAGTAGCCTCTTCGTGAGGGGACATCTTGGTACATATAGTAGTAAGTAGCCCAGCCCACGGGAATATCCCACATAATAAGTAGGCTACCTCCTGAGTAGCCTCTTCGTGAGAGGACATCTCGCTTCATTCAAAAGTAAAAACACTAACTCCCCCTTCCTCATGAGCTTTTCTACTACATGAACTAGTGCTCAAACGAAAGTATATAGTGTGTTTGACCAAACTTGAAAAGAAAAGAAAAGCATATATAAATGAACATCTGTTTAAATCTACTAGAGTATTCAATTCTACAGCAAATGTACACAATTTCATTTGCATGCAATGTCGAAAGTACCATTGGCTGACACTGAAAGACACGTGGTATCATAGTCTGAACCTTTACACACGTCAACAAGGCGTTCGTTTCTGCTAAATGTCATCAAATGCTGAATCAGTAGACGCCAAAACACGTCGACGAATGACGTTAGACGTGATCCGTTGCCATTCCTGTAGGAGACATTGTTCCAGTTGTTGAGCGATGACAGGTGGCGCTGGTAGTCTTCTGATTTGTCGATCCAGGTAGTTCCATAGGTGTTTTATCGGATTCATGCCGGGAGAACATGCTGGCCACGGCAAAACAACAATGTTAGCGTTATGCAGAAAGTCGTTTGTTGCTCTTGCTGTATGAAGCCTTGCGTTATCTTGTTGGTAGACAATGCCACGTGGTTGTTGCTGGATAAATGGCAACACAACTGGTCGCAAAACTTCATCCCTGTATCTTCGAGCATTCAGGTTGCCATGAATAATCACAAGTGTCGTTTTGAGATCGCCGCAGATCCGACCTCACACCATCATGCTACCGGCTTCAAACAGTCGGACTTGCTGAACGCAATTTGGCGCTAAACGTTCACCTACTCGTCTGTAAACACAAGCTCGGTCTTCATTACTGTACAGGCAAAACCTACTTACGTCGGTGAACACACGTCGCCAACCACGCATCTGCCAATGTCGAGCTCGCTTGGCCCATGTCAATGGACGTCGGTTTTGAAGAGTCAGATGCACTCTGCGGTAGGGTCGACGTGCTCGAATGCCATGTTCTCTTAGTGTGTACACTGTATGTCGACTGATACGATGTCCTAGTGCCGTCGCTGCCGTTGACGTGGCCGTTACAAATCGATTTATCAGATGAATTGTCCGGATGTGTCAATCGTCACCGGGCGTTGTCACACGTGGTCGACCACTCCTAGGCCTGTCTGACGTATTGCCTGTTTGTCTTAGTCGTTGCATCAGTCTGATGACAGTTGGTCGGGTGCAGCCGAAGGTTCTGGCAATGACGATGTGGTTAGCTCCTTGTTGGGCCATTCCGACAGCTCCCTCTCTTTCGATTTGCCTCAAACGTAGCAAATTTTTGTGTTCTTTTTACTATAGTGCGTTTGGCTCAAAAGCGGACCGATGAATTGCAATCAAACTCGAAAACTAATAAACATATAATGCTCCATGAAACGCTGATTATAATCAAAACATCAGACCAACTCTGTGATTTGTCCCTTTCTCTGCACTCCTCCCTCGTAACAAACAGTGAACTGTGTCAATATTTTAATGATAGTTTGTTAAACAACTTTTTTTTAATGTTAGGACATAAATTCTGCAAAAACCTCACAGAGTTGGTCTGACGTTTTGATTATGATCAGTGTCTCATTGAGTATTAATTATTTTTCGAGTTAGATTGCAATTCATCGGTCCGCTTTTGAGGCAAACGGACTATACTACGTTACTCACGTGTCGCGTAGGCTGTTTATACCGTCAGTATGCACGTGCATTTCGTGTACATCAGAAAATGTCGTTAAGGATTTTTTGCGACGTTTAGGCGATTTGTTAACTTGTTTCGCCGTTTGTTCCCGGAAAGGGTTTGTCTGTACGTGTGTGACATGGCTCAGTATGGTTTTATGATTTCATTTTTATTTTTGTGATTTTCTATGTAATATTGTGCAGTGTATAGTTTATTTTGAGCACTAGTTTATATACTTGTCTCATGTTGGTCCATTACGAACATTAGTATTTACAATTCCGGACATGGCTTAGAGGTAAAGTCAAGAGAATAAGTTTCCGGCCAGCAATTTGAACTGCGAAAAGTTCATTGCCAAACTACACATATCATTCCCTGACATCGGGAAGACCTGGAAATTGTTGGTGTTCCTGTGCATACTTATGTCACTTTCAGATATTATCTGTCTCATCAAACAGGGTCAGTGACTTGCCTCTTTCCTCTTTGTATGGGGTCCGCCACGTGCCCATTTCGTGACACATCGGTTAACTCTCAGATATTCAGACCCGTGAAGATCCAGGTTACAAATTGATCTTCAGCAACCCATGCTTGTCGTAAGAGGCACCTAACGGGATCGGGTGGTCAGGCTCGCTGACTTGGTTGACACGCGTCATCGTATCCCAGTTGCATAGATCGATGCTCATGCTATTGATCACTGGACTGTCTGGTCCAGACTCGATTATTTACAGATCGCTGCCACATAGCTGGAATATTGCTTAGTCCGGCGTAAACAACCAACCAACCAACCAACCAACTAACTCAGATCTTTAACGAGAAACTGTGCTTTTATTGCCGGTACAATGAGTGAGTGAGCTTTTAGCAATATTCCAGCAATGGGCAGGGGACACCAGAAATGGGCTTCACACACTGTGCACATGTGGGGAATCGAACCCGGGTCTTCGGAGTGACGAACGTCTTAACCACTAGGCTACCCCACCGCCCTATTGCTGGTACAAGACGCATGCGTATAAGTCTTTGTTATGTTAACATGCATTAATTCATCCCACGACAGGTAAAAAAACAACTGCATAGGAAATGTTAAACGTCTTCCCATTGCAAATATATTGATAAGATATGCATATAAATCATAAATGCTATTCAGCACTGCCATTTGTAATACAAGGGCGATAACTCGTGATGTCTTCATGTCCCTTGTCAGCTGTCACGATGTTCGTGGACCTGGGCCCTTATTCTCGAAACGTTCGTAGCCCTAAAATTCTTAACTTTGATCGTAGCCAATGTGTTCAGAATGGGGCTTAAGGAGTTCTTAGGGCTACGAACGTTTCGAGAATAGCTAGCCTGGTAGCTAGCCTTACCCTTGTTTTGTGTGTTTGTTTAACTTCACACTAAGCAATATTCCATCTTTATGTAAATAATCGAGTCTGGACCAGACAATCCAGTGATCAACAGCATGAGCATCGATCTACACAATTGGGATACGATGACATGTGTCAACCAAGTCAGCGAGGCTCATCACCCGATCCCGTTAGTCGCCTCTTACGACAAGCATGGGTTACTGAAGATCAGTTCTAACCCGGATCTTCACGGGTAGCTAGCTTTACCGATAAAAAGTAAGACATCCGTGTGAACATTATAACGGTACGATTAATTTATCCTCAACCGGCCCATCAGGAGTGATGTACCCCGTGTTCTCTTTTTGAGGGCGGTGGGGTAGTCTAGTGGTTAAAGCGTTCGCTCGTCACGCTGAAGACCCGGGTTCGATTCCTCACATAAGCACAATGTGTGAAGCCAATTTCTGGTGTCCCCGCCGTGATATTGCTGGAATATTGCTAAAAGCGGGGTAAATAACTCACTCTCTTTATGAAGCCCTTCCTCACATTACACTGGCTCACGGTACTGACGGTGTATTGCTTAAAATCGTGTGTCTGTTTCAGAGTGGGTCACACTTCTCTGTCATCGCCTTCTGTTGTGTGAACACGCCACTCAACTTGTACTGTGACGAGGAGGTGTCCACTGACAGTCGATTGTATAACAAGGGCACGTCTCGATAAAGTACCATAGTTTGTACCACTCACGTGTATTACTACATTTGGCTAAACAATTACCACTGATTGATTGTAGGATGAATATTATTTTAACAAAATAATCAAAGTAACCAGATAGAACTTGAAATCACGCGTTTAGAAAGATACTTGAAACAGCGAGAAATTATTTGAAATAACGAGAAAATAATCAAGTATAAATTTATTTTAGAAATTTCAAGCAAAAATCCCGTTTAATTGAAATAACGAGAAATTTGCGCCACAAAAGAGGCACCAATAGGTGACGTGAGACAGTCACGTTGATGTAAATAGTACAAATCGCAGTACACAGCTGACGGTACTCTTATACTCGGGACTCTCAGGACTCTCTCGACACGTGGACCAGGGCTCTCTTCTCTCCTGTTTTGGGGCGGTGGCGTAGCCTTGTGGTAAAAGCGTTCGCTTGTCACGCCGAACGCCCGGGTTCGATTCCCCACATAGGTAAAATGTGTGAAGCCCATTTCTGGTGTCCCCCGCCGTGAAAATGCTGAAATATTGCTACAAGCGGCGTAAAACCAAACTCACACACCCACTCTCTCCTATTTACCAGCAAACGTATAGTAAATTACATTTGTGACTTAAAAAATCCGTATGATGAAAATTACCTTCAAGGTTGCAATATCTAAACTAAGTGTTTCGTTTAATCAAACATGAAAAGCCTAGGCTCATGTTCATGAAGTGATTGTTTGACTTTAACTATAGTATACCCGGTATCACTAGGCTAGAGCAATAACCCAGCATTAATCTGTACTAGTGCAAGTGGCCACCAAAACCCAAACATTGCCATTGTTATACTAGAGCAATAATCATGAAAGTTCACAATCTGTCCACGAATATATTGATATATCAGGGAGATCCACCAAATTTGTGATAGTCGGTTGATTAAGCTAGGTCCATAATGTATATTTTGCCAGCTAGACCCTAACCGGGATACGCACATGAAATGATAGTCATTCTTAAACACACACGCACGCACGCACGCACGCACGCACGCACACACACACACGCACTACCCATCAAAAGTTTAGACTCGCCACAATGTAGCCACTTACTTCAGGCAACTGTTCTGAACTAGAATTTACCAAGTATTCCATACTGTTTAAAGGTACTGTTTACACATGAACTGATGTATTGTAAAAAAAATTGTAACGTTGAAAAGATTATTGTCATGAATTCAATAAATGATGAAAATTGGCGAATTCTTAACAAAACTTTACACTAAAACGCAGCTGTTCACATGCACTATATTTGCACATGCTTTTCAGCAATTTGATGCATGATCCTCGTGCAATTCATCTGCATAAGGTTTACAGTTGGATCCCCTAAGTTAGTGGAGAAATTCATCTCCGATGTAACCACATATATATACATAACATATAGTCTAAACTTTTGATGTGTAGTATATATATATTGATTGTTATCATGCGCGATCTGGAGCGGTATTAGCATAAGTTATTGCGTTTGTCAATCCAGTTCAAGTTTTCTTTGAAATAAATATGTTTAGATCATGGTCTTGAACACGACCTTAAGCTTTCAATACTTCGCTTCGCGAGCTGTGCAGTGGGCAGCTCTTGCGGGTGGTCTACACAGGTAAAATTTCAAGTGACGCCACATGTCAATAGATACTGTAAACAATATAATAAGGACAGTAGGTTAGTGCCAACTAACACATAACCATATTAACGGCTTGATGCACGTTCAAACACATACTGCAGTGTATACTGTAGGACAGGTGCCATTTTGATTGATGTGTAAATACAAGTCGTAAATTTCCAGGGTGTGATGTTGACGTTGATTGACGTTGTTTATGTCGGCGTTTATCTAAAATAGATGGATGCATGCAGGGCCTGGAGGTAAGGCTTCCACTGAATCCACATAGCCCAGTATTGTAATACATTTCCTCTGTCCACGGAATAATGATTATCTACTGACGTTGATGTACGTAAATGAACGAATCCACAGACAAATATCATCCGAAGCGCACGTACAATGTAAGAGTTATTCTCAAGAACGCTATGGCACTTCTTTAGCGAAATGGTAATTGAGAAACATAAATCTTGCAGTCTATGGCCCTGGGGTTGTTTTGTTGGATGGAATACTTAAGTATTCATTCTGCCACATGAAAACAATTTATTGCGTTGAGATGAAGCCACAATTTATAGGGTGTATCAAAATGGAACCCGAGATTAGCCGTGTTTAATTCCTGCAGCCAGACATAATGTGACCTGAACTTGAAAGCTGCTAATGCACTTTACTCATGGGTCAGAGAGGCCCGTTGTCAGTGTATATATGCACTCATTCACTCACTAACTCACACACACACACTTATTTATCTATTTATTTATTTATCTGTTTATTTTGTAAGAGAACAATATCAAATGATGCAATAAGGAAAATCGACCGAAAGGTAACAAACAGTTGATGAAAATCAATGTATCATGCCTATGCGAATCCTTTCTTTATCATGGTTTGTTTTTTAATGCCGCAAACAGCCATATAGCAGCTTATACAGGTCACCCCGTGTAATGTGCGCTGCTTGTCGAGACACCAGTCTGGATTTCCGATCAGAATTGGTCACCAGGCACCTCTGGAGGCCGTAACAGGCGATACAGTGGATTGGGTGGTCAAGCTTGGTGACCAAGGATACCCTGAAGGAAGGGATCGTATGTCTCAGTATCAATCACAGGATAGTCTGGCTACTGGCTACTGGCTAATAGGTGTGTCGAACTGTTTCCCTCAGTGAAGAAATATTCACACATTCTGATTACCCAGGCGCGAAAATCTGCTTACGACAACTCACCAACTAACTACCAAACCACTATCTCAATTTTACAGATACGCACGTACGCACGCACACGCACGCACGCACGCACGCACACACACACTCAAACAAACGAACCACCAGCCCACTCCTACTCACTCACTCACCCACACACACCTGTGCTCAGTACGGTTGACTTTAACTGTTCTCGTGTCTTGCAGACAATACTCAATCTCATTACGTAGTTGGAATAATAAAACATACAATGTATTCAGAAATAAAACTTAGAAGAAAGTCGTTTTTCACACAAGTGTCTACGACAGCAGCTTGCCATCAGTCTCCACTGGTCCCCACTGACGCCATCAGCAACAGCACATAAACATGTCTACGTTACGTCACGCCATAGACACACTCCACGCAGCGCACATCTCGTGTGTCACCTGTGAAATATGACAGCAAAACACCAACAGAAGAAACTAAAACCTCTAATCAAGAGTGTCGTATGACGTATGTTCCGAGGTGTTTACAAATATGAAGCCTTGTCCTCTGAAAAAGCGGAACAGCACTATGAGAACAGAAAACAACATTCAAGGGGAGTGTGCATTGGCGGATCCAGAGAGAGAGAGAGAGAGAGAGAGAGAGAGAGAGAGAGGGAGGTGTGCATTGGCGGATCAGAGAGAGAGAGAGAGAGAGAGAGAGAGAGAGAGAGAGAGAGAGAGAGAGAGAGAGACAGAGAGAGAGAGAGAGAGAGAGAGAGAGAGAGAGAGAGAATTATGTGTATATAATCGGCCACTGGCGTGTGTCTATAATAAACGGGACGGGGATGGGGTAATGATATAGACTGACGTTGATGCTGCAGTGATTAATCACCTGGAGCTATATGCTCACACAACTTACTGTTTCTTTATCTGACAGTCAGCATATGAATGCGTTACACTTTACAACACTAAAGTGCACCAGTGTTGAAACACACGACAGTGCCCATTGTGAAATTTTTTAAAGAAATACTTAATTTTTTCTTGTCGGTAAGTATTTCCATATGGAGATTTGATTTCAGAAATAATATCCAACTATAAAAATTATAGGAAATGTGTGTAAGGAATAGCAACTGGTTAATAAAAATGTCTAAATTTTTGTACATACGATTGTTTTTTTTGTACTCACTGAAAACAACATGGTGGAGCATGAAAAGAATTTTTTCAGTGAATATACATGCCATTTAGCTTAGATTTGTATGTATTCCATGAGTCTGTGAATCCTGATTTATAGTGAGTTAGGTATAAACACATAACGGTATCCCAGTAATAGCTGGGCGTGAGATTTGTTTGTATATTGTTTAACGCGGCTCTCCGCGATGCTCATGCTGTTGATCACTGGATTTTCTGGTCTTGCGCCTTGGGCATGTACTAGTTGCCTGGTTATGTGCTCTCCATAAATATCCTGTAATAAATGATAAAATAATAACATCCCAAATGCGTAGATCGATATTCATGCTGTTGATCACTGAATTGTCTGGTCCAGACTCGATTATTTACAGACCGCCGCCATATAGCTGGAATAGTGCGGCGTGAAACTAAACCCACTCACTCACTCACCCACATTTCTGACCTACTTCTCAAGGAAGAGATACATAAAACTGATAGAATAAAACATCGATGCTTTGAGTGTATCAAACTGGATCTATGGTAACATTTTGAATGTACATGTACTTCTCATACTATTTTAAACAGTAAAGCCAAAAATACACATTTTGAATATTCACTGTCAAGCTGTGAAAACAAGCGTCATTTTCCAACAGGAGAATCATGACATAGGAACAAAGACCAGTGGTAACCTCCGACAGCATATCAATCAAATCTTGCATCCAACCATCACCTTTCAAGGACGAATGTAGGTCGTACAACGAAACACATGACTGATCGGTGCTCATTTCAACCAATGTCGGCGATAAGCTGGCCCTTCCGAGATATCAACAGTTAATCGAGTTGACATATGTAATCTCTGAATATTTATTGCTGTCTGTCTTTCAGTGAGTTTTTCTCATAATTTCCTGTTGGTGTGAAATGTAACGGTCATGGTGGCAACGAAGGATATACCGGGGGTAATAAATTACTCAGAAGGCCGCATTTTTAAAACTCATTTTACAGTTTATTCTTATTAGTTTGGATCTAAAACAGACAGTAAAAACAATAGTGCCCAAATTGTGTCTTCCTCTTTTTCTTTATAGAGAGAATGATTTCGGACCAAACGCAGTCCCTGCGAATAGACTCATGTCATTCAATTTCTGCTTTTAAAAGGTATTACATTACACAGCATGTGCACTAAACTATCTATATCATATGCAAATGATTGTATGATGGGCCTGTGGCCTTTTACTGAATAAACTTGTCTGTCTGTTTGTCTGTCTGTATCTTGGCAGTGGGGTAGCCTCTTGGCTAAAGTATTCTCCCGTCATTCCAAAAACCCAAATTATATTCTCCTCATGAGGAAAATGTATGAAGTTCATTTCTAGTGTGTCTCCACCTTGATATTGCTAAAGAAATTGCAAAGACGGCCTTAAACCATACTCACTGAACTGATACGACGCGTATCAACCTCAGTTACTTATTAAGCTAAGTACCCGAGAGGAAGCAATGCCTTACTTGCACACAGGGTATCAATCACAACGTCGTCACTT